CCCCCATACAGACAGATGTATTCTGAACAGGCTGTGGCAGCCTGTGAACTGCAGCAAATTGGATGTAGGGCATACGAGAAACTGGTTTTGTCTGACTGCTGAGGATTTTTAGGTCTTTAAACTGGACTGCTTCAGAACAAGCTGGAAGAAAACATGAATCCCAGGCATTTGGTGTTGTATCAGAGTGCACAGAGGGCTGGCTACCTTTGGACCTCGCAGGCAGGCATTACAGCCTGGCACGTAGAGCAGGGTTACCAGAGCTCCCCCTTGGTGATAGACTAATACCTTCTCTTCAGGCCCCAGATTTGCCCCAAACAGATGAGCTGATACCTGTCGATCTTGATAACATACTTTGAGATATTCTCATGTGAGGTCCAGGTTCCTTTTTGTAAGCTTTTAAAATCAGTTTCCTGAAAGAAATTTATATAAAAGAGGAATTAGTCTGGTACATAAACGACTAACTGCTGTGTGTAAGAAACATGGAGAGTCAAATGGAAAATGAAAAAATTACAGCAATGTTTTTCCTTTTGAATAGCTTTAAAAATATTTCTGAAAGTGAAAATGTAGATAAGGCCCCACTTTCCCTCTTCCCAGAATGCCTAATTATGACTACCTGCTTTTATTTAATTTTTCCTAGTGCGTTTTTCATGGCTCTTAGAAATGCTTTATTCTCTCTTTTAATCTAGATTTGCCTTGACTCTACACATAATTCTACTTATCTCTTTCTTTAAGCCCATTAAACCATGTCGCCCTATGACCAACAATGCTGGAAGACTATACCACTATCGAATTACTGTGTCACCTCCCACAAATTTCTTAGTAAGTACTTCACAAATAATTCTAGCTAGAACTCTTAATTTTGTTTTCAGTGATGGAAGTAGTACTACTTTTTGATTACTCCATGGTGGTTTTGTTTGCTTTTTTTAGACAGACAGACCTACTGTTATTGAGTATGATGACCATGAATATATCTTTGAAGGGTTCTCAATGTTTGCACATGCCCCACTAACAAACGTAAGTATGTTCATTGCTACATACATGGGATTTGTTTGGAAGGGAAGCTGTTTCTGCCCTGTAGTAGAATGTCTCTAAAACAATGGTACATGTACGTTACAAACATCTCGCCAGAGTTGGGGACCACGGGAAGGACGTTTGTGCTAATGAGTCTCAGGTTTTGTGTTAACTAATTGTGGTAAGCATTGACTTCAAATTCTGACTGAGACTGTGATGTGCAAAAAAGTAACATGTTTACATGTTTCACAGTTTGGAAGTGAAATAAACCACGGAATAAGTGGTTAAAACTGTTAATTGGATTTAAATTGGATGAGGAGGTTTGTTAAGTTGAAAAAGTTTAAAAAAGAGCAACAACAATAAAAAAAGGTTTTCCCTTTGTTAAGTGACAAATGGACTTCTTTCAGAGATCCACTCTAAAGAGATTTCTTTCTTCTAAAAACTTACCTAGACGTATCCACTACTTTCTAACATCTATTCAGCTTCTTCAGGAACTAGGCAAGTTACGATTTTTATTAAAAGTTGTAGGTATTTAAAGGCAATTAATTTTATGTTTTGAAAGCAAATATAACAAGAAAAGGACATGATTGGTACCTGACTGCCCTGCTTTTCCAATATAAGCTGTGTTAGCCATATCTGAATGAAAAATACGCAAATACTTAATTTCTGTACATTTGAAGATTTCTTTTGTTATCTTGATATTTCAAAAACTGTTTTTTCAAATGTTGTAGGGTTTGTTTGTTTCCTTGGTTTTATACTTATTACTAGCTACACACCAATGCCAAAACCCGGTATAAGAATTGTTATCAGTACAGGACTGGGATGTAAGAATACTGGAACTGAGAGGCACTGAGAAGAAAGCTTTTTTTTTGTGACAGTTTGCTTGCATAATATATATGACAACACTTTACTTTTGGTGTGCAGGGGAAGGGACTGTAATGTTGACAAGTCAGTAAAAGAGTAGAGTTCAGCCTGTGGGGTTCCAGTGTGAAGCAGTCCTGCCAGGTAGCATTAACTCAGCCTTGGGGTTCAAGGCAGATTTGTCCCGAGGCTTTACACTTTCACTTTGCAAGCGAGCAAAAAGGAACAGTTTTGTTTTACTCCCATTAAAAGGGTAAGAAGACTACCTTATCTTTATAATTTTTGTGTCTAGTGCATGACAGGAAGGCAGAGAGTAATGGAAATCTTTAATATACAGAATACAAGGAAAACTCTTCTTGTCTGACAGGAGTAGTTAGTGAAGACATTGACCTTCCTCTTACTGTAAAGTGCATGTGTGTTTTTTCTCATTCCAAATAGGAGAACTGATCAGCAGCAAATGATTACTTTTTTACAGAGTTGAATACAAAGCAACACTGTATTGTCAGTTCCTGTTACTAACAGGTATAAAGCCCTTTGGAAGGAGTCTCTTGCTGTCTGGAGATGATTTTTGGCAACATAAAAACTGCTGTTTGAGAGACATTTTGGAACATATTTGATAAAAGGGAGGTGGCAAAGGGTAGCAAAAATAGAGATCTGAACACATCTTTGAATGAACCAAATCTCTGTAATTTTAAGTCTTAGCTTTGGACACTCTTAGAAGTCTTACTACTGTTATTACTATTATTCAGGTCAGATATTAGGGAAAATAGTTAGTACAGTCATAAGAGAAATTATAATTTTCTTAATATAACTACCAAAACAATTTTCTAGTACCAAGTTACTTTGCTATGTTTTTGCTTGTGTTCATGGAACTCTAATTCATTGAGATTTTGGTTGTCATCACTTCTCTAATCATTCATTTTCTATTCAATACAAAGAAAAATACCCCAGACTACTGAGTTCCTGAATCAGAATATCCTCTCCTGGTTGAACTTACATGTTAGAAAGTAAGCAAACACTCCCTGTATTTTTATTTTTTTTAAAAAAAGCCCCGCTGATTTAAATGTGACAGGTTTTCCTCTCCTCAGATTCTACATGGGACATTTGACTTCCAAGGTTTTTTATTTTTGTATTCGCATTTAATATTGTATCAAATTGTAGGAAATGCAATTTTTTGTTTGGTAGTTTGGTGTAGTTCCTTCGTTTATCATGCAGATATCAACAGATTTTTGTAGACAAAATAGTCAAATGTTTGACAGTGGGCTGCAAGAAGATGCAAGCACAATATCGCACTTCTGCTAAGTCCATTGATTTCAGTGCAACCCCAGCACTATTCAGATATTTATTTGTGTGCTTATCAATGCAAAATAACCTTGGATTGCCTCACTTGCACAGACCATTGAATTGTTCTAAGATTCCTTTATGCTTGCAAGGTCAGTGAATAGTAAAACTTGCTAAGAGCTGTATACGTGTAGAGTAGGATTAGGCATTTCTGTAGGTTTTTAGAAATGTAGCATTTTTGCTTTAAAAAAATCCCTTTTGAAAAACCAAACAAACAAACACCTTCAGCAGTCCATGGACTTCGCAAACAAAGGAACCTTTTTTCAAAGGTGAAAAAAAGGAATTAGTTGTTTGTCTTACTAGTTAGTTGAGTGAACTTCTGAGAATATTTGTTGGATTAAATTAGTGTAAATGTATAAATTTATCCTCAAGTTCTTATATTGTGTTGCTATGACTTAAAGCCATATTTTAAGCCAGTATAGCTAACAGAATTGGCAGTGTGCTAAAAACACCTTGCCTTCAGGTCACTGTATCAGTCTGACTTGTTGTGTCGCCAACAATAAATTCACTTCCAAATACACAAGTGAGAGAAGGTACGGGTTTACTGAGCTTTGCTTTTTCTTCTAAACAAAATTTCGTCTCCAGTAGATGGCATTATTTAATCTTCCTTTACCATCCCTCCTGTCAGCCCTGTGTTATTACAGAGGTGAAAGTTAAAACTGTTACTTCTCTTGCACATGCTTGTGTTCCTGTCTTTGCATGATCCCCCATGCTTTAGTAAGTGCCTTTTTCAGCAGACAGTAATACCTTTGCATACAAAATTGCATTAACTATACATTTGATGCTGTTTAGTTTTTCATGCTGAATTTCTGTTTTCCTTCCAGATTCCTCTATGCAAAGTAATCAGATTTAACATTGACTATACAATTCATTTCATTGAGGAGATGATGCCTGAGGTAAGAACGATAATTAGTCAAAAAGTCAGAGTGGGTTATGAGTTATTGATATGCTTAATGGATTAAACTCTTTAGAATCCCATCTCGTGAAGTCTCTAAGAGACAGGCTGTGTTCTGAACAAATGGCTGAAAAGGAACTTGTACTCACAGGTACTAGCATAAATCTATCTACCTAGGCTATCATATATTAAAATCAAATAGTAAGAAGTGCTTATATCCATAGCTTCTTTTCATTTTAAGTTATATACAGTGTATGTCAGGTACTCTTATCTGTAAGCTGAGTTAGGCATTATCCTTCTTTCACGGATGACAAAAATAAGGTATATGGAGGTGCTGGTTTGCCAGGACCACATAAGTCAGTGGCAGAGCTGAAACTTAATCATGAGCTTGAAGCTTTAAAGATTGCTTATCAGTGCTTAATATAAGCTGTTGCCAAAACAAATTTCCGGTGGATACAAACAAAGCACATTCAGTTCATAACCTTTTTTTTTTTTTTATTACAAATTAATCCCTGGTGAAGCCAGTTTGTGAAGTAAATTGCTGCAGTGGAACAGCATGTGTAGGTACAGAAACACTCCTGCATATTAACTACAAAGATAGTATCAGTGTTTAATTTAGTCACATATATTTACATTTTTCTTTCTAAGTATCTCTCTCTTTGTTGCTCAACAGCATCTAAATATATGCAAGAGTTCAGCAAGATTAATGTGATCAAAGCAGTTCATTTCTTGTTACTGAATCTGCTGTGTTGTCTCCAAATCTTGTTTTAAAACAACAAATGGCCACCAAGCAAAATAGGGAATTTGACCTTTTTTTGGACTCCTGGTCAATTGGCTACAGCACTATTTGCAGACCGTCTTTACTAATGCATTCTTGCGAAAGAGATTGTCTTGTTGGGTTTGGAATTTATGGCAGGTATCATACACATACAATTTATATCAACCTGTCCTGATTTTGTTTGTTAACGAAGGCTTTTTAAGTTCCTCCATTTCTGAATGAAAGCTCTTTGCTTTGAAGGAGCTTTTTTCCCACTTGATGAGAAGAATCTCATTCTTTTATTTTTCTTTTTTTCCTCCTCTCCTTTCCTGTTGGCTCTTGAGGTCAAAATCCTCAATTTGCGTTGTACTGATACGTTGCTATGGAAGTGATCATGATATCACAGATGGTGACTTATAAACTTCTAATATGAACATGTAGGAAAAAGTGAATTATGAAAAAGTTCCTTCTCAGAAATATGTTATCTTCTTAGCTTACTGAGGTGAAAGGGTTTTAGTGCATGGTGAATTATCGCAGATGCGTAATTTCTGCCTATAATGTTGATTTGGACATTGACTAAAGAGTCTTCATTACAATGCTTTCTGAAGAGATCACTGTGGTGTGTTACAGTAGGTGATTACAGATATATCAATACTGTTTCCAAAGCCAGGTGTCTAGCAGTTGGCAAATATGAAGACACTGGGTTTTTTCATTGTTTTGTTTAAGTATACGTGAGTGGCATTATTTGTATTACAGTATTATATAATTATAATTCTGGTTTATTTTTTTCTTTCCCCAGAATTTTTGTGTAAGAGGTCTTGAGCTGTTCTCTTCATATCTGTTTAAAGATATTTTGGAGCTCTATGACTGGAATCTTAAAGGTAACTTTTATTTAAGGGAGAAAAACCCATACAAAAACCCAATTAATTGCAGCTTTTGTAAATAGGACTTTATTTTGTTATGTTCTTTGGTTTAAAAAGAAAAAAGTGGGGAGGGGCCTCAAGAACAAAGTCAAATGCTGGTTTACATGAGAAGGACAAACTTCCACTTTGTTCTTCAAGAAGATGAAATATATTAGAGTTCATTAGTGTGGGCTGTAGCAATTAAAATGCACAAACTTGGCACTGTATTCTTGCAGATAAACTAAATTTCTTCCTTAATCCAAAACTGTTCTTTTTAATCAAACAGTAAATATTATTGTGTTTAATATTGCACAGTATCGTGTGCATGGTATTTTGAAAGCCAAGGTGTCAGGTAAACTATTCTCTCTGTTTTTACAAGCTAACAAACAAGTTACTCATACAGTATTTCTCTACAGTCAACTTACAAAGCAGTATCATAGAGACAGCCGTAGAGGGATAACATGTCATTATAGCTGAATGTTTTTGACTTGACAAGATGAAAATACCTGTTTCTGTGAAGACTGCAACAAAGGAGAATTTCAGGGATGATCCTTCCCTTGGTCTAAAAGAAAACCGAGAATATCAGAGGAATTTAATTTCATAATCTGTAGGTGTGTTTTAGTGTCTTGATTTTGTCTATGGAGATGCATTCTGCACTTACTGCAGTTAAACAGAGGAGCATAAAAGTTTCATGTGTAACCTTTGGTTTAATACTAAATGTATTCTAATATCAGTGTTATCTTTTGTATCACTGGTTCTGATCTTTCTTTCTTTTTTAATGCTAGGTACTTATTGGTTTTGTTTGTATTTTCATGCAAAGCTTTGGATGATGAAATAGGACATGAAAAAACCACAAAATAGCATCATGGAAATTTCCTTGTTATCTTTGTTATTGTAACCAAAAACCATCCCACTAATTGGGAGGGACTAATAAACTAGCGCTTGTGTCTGTAAGGCTTAAATGAATTAATTATATAAAATTCTTTTTCTGTATCACTGTTTTAAATAAAACTACTGTGTTTTTGTTAGATTCTTTTTATTTTTAAGCTATTGTAGCTTTCTTTGAAATTGTCCATGTGAAAGCTTTCACTGGAAGTTGTTACTCTGTTCCTCTCTGCTGTGCATTTTGTAACTTTTCTGATTGAAACTTAGGTCCTATCAAATCTAATCACTGTTCATTGATTTCGTCTGTGGCAGGGTTGCCGTCTTTTTTTCTTCTTTTGCAAATACATTGCTGTAAATTTTCCTTTTTTTTTTTTTTTTTCATATTTAAGGTCCCTCACTTGAAAATGATTCTATTTGCTGCCCCAGATTTCACTTCATGCCGCGATTTGTGAGATTTCTTCCAGGTAATGTTTGTATTATGTAGCTTTATGGAAATTAGATCTAAAACCCAAAAAAACCCCAACAAACCCCCCAAAAAACACACCCCAACTCCCCCCCCCCAAAAAAAAAAAAACCACCCCAAAAAAACAACTTGTTGCAAGTCAAATGGTTCAGTCAGTGTAGAGATCTGGTGCTTCCATCTGAAGCTGGCAGTGTTTGCTGGCAGTGTGGATGGATTACTCAGAACTGGGATTCAGATGGGCAGGCCAAGTCTCGCTTCCAGCTTTTGTCTCTGTTGTGGTGATTTTAGGCAGTGCTGGGTCATCCCTGTCCTGCCCTGCGATGGAGCTGTGGCCTTTGAGGAAGTGCTATTACCTAATCTCACATATGAAACTGAATTTAGTGTCCCCTCTGCTCTTCAGGATATCGTGTGATTATATTAAAATTCTTGATGTGCAGTTTTGAGGGTCAGCATGATTGGCACCCCTGAGCACATGTTGTTCTCATTGTTTCTTTCTTTATCTTAATGCAAGCTTAGACCTTGCAGCAAACAGTGAAAGACAGAAAAACACCATTCCAATGCAATTCAACCCTAGCCTGCCAGCCAAGGACAAGCTTCAGTGTGGAGCGTTACGCTCGTTTTGAGTGAACAGCTTACAGAGGCATTTAACACATCCTAAGATACTAGGACAGACTTTCAGTTGATATAAATGTCATGGCTCCATTGAAAATGTGTCCTGCTGAGATCCTGCCAGTGATTGCTCCAGAAGGGTTGTGTGGACAGGAGGATGCATTTCAGCTGCTGGACTGAGGGTGCAGATGAGACATGGAACAATCTTCATCAAGAGGGCTGTGGCCTGGAGGTGCTTTCTGCTCTGGGCTTTGAAACTTAGTTGGGGTATTAATTATAGCTGTAGCTAAATGAGGTTTGGCTCATTACTGCGGAGAGTACTGATGGCTAGATGACTATATTTCTAATTGTTGTTCCTTCCTGGATACACAACACTGTTCAATCAGAAGCAGAGCTCTGAGGCTTGCTAGCAAACATTGATTTGGTTCTGCTGAAGCAATTTACAAAATAAGCCATCAAGCCACATGTGGCTGATTAACTTGACCTCATCACAAAATGTGAACAAGTTTGACCTGCCTGGTTTGTGTAGCTTGAGGGTGTTTTCCTGTTAGTTTGGGGTTTTTATATTCTGATTTGTTTTATTTTAGTTTAGAAGTCAGCTCCTTCTGCACTGTTGGATTGTTTACTGATAGGGAGAGATAAGTCTCTATAACATATATTCCTGTGTGCTTCCTCTTTAAGGTTCCCAGCCTTCCAACTCTTTATAAAAATGTCTTTTTCCTGATACTTCTGCATATATATTTGGCTTTTAGCATCTTTATGACAGATACTTTTTAATTGAGTTTGCATTTTGTATTGATTATTTTTTGAAATATCCTTGGAGATTTTTAATTTCCAGAGAGTGGGAATCTATTTCCTTCAGGTATGTTTGCAGAACATTATTTATCTATGTCTAATCAAAGAAGATATATTGGTGCAACAGATCTCCACACATCCATCAACTGTCTCTTTAAAGATAGAAATGAATTGCTGATTTCCCATCCCCCTTACTTTTCTTTGTTTCTTTCTTATTCTTCTAACATGGTCTAAAAATATGAGGTTTGGGATGTCAGGTTTTCTATGTGGATTACTTAGAGACAGGCCTTGGGGTAGCTCTAAGCTTTGAGCTAATCATACCGGGTTTACTGAGTGCAAGAGATGGATATCATGTGGAATAGTTGCTGTATTGTGTTCATTGTCATAGATTTCTATGATGATAGATACATTAAGAGAGTAAAAGACTAGAAAAAAAACATTTGAGGTCCCAAGTACTGCATGTTCTGACCCGGGAAAGGTCAGGTCTCTAACTACAGTTCAGCACAGCTATCTATAGCAACCTGTACCTTCCCGTACATGGTCTTCAGTGAGTAAGGCTACATTTTCTTTTTAGTGGTTGTTGGACATGGATTACCTCTTGTGTAACAGTATAATCTAGTTGTTGGCAAAGACAAAAGTCTTGTAAACTGAGTCCCCCTTTAATTTGAAAGAAAACTTTGCACATTTAAAAATCTGCCCCTGTAGCTATTTAGAAGTATTTTCTGTTTCCAGTGGGATTTGACATGTATTTTCCCCATTTAAGATTCCCTCTTGGAGTTTGAATGAGGGTAATTGTTCTAAGAGGCCAAGTTGTATCATTCCCTTTCATGTTTTCTGTACCATAGTGCTGTAATCCCAGCTGAACTAAGAGAAGCACTTACTCCCTTGCGTGTCTTGTAGAGGACATCATCTTATGCAACACTGTTATGCAGCAGTTCTGCAAGGCTTTTCCTGTGTGCCTGCGATCACATTCCTTGTGCTGTGGCATCATCCCCCATATTGCTCTAAGGCTTTACTTCTGGTTTTCCCCATTCCTTTTTTTTTGTGTGTAGTGATAGAGAGAATGTACTCAGTGGCAGGACCAGATTGCTCCTGCTCCCTGGGGAAGGGAAATCAATGTTTGTGCTCTATAGGGATGAAACTTGAAGATGCTTCCATACCTACAAATTAACACCATGTTGTTGAAGGAGAGAGTCAGAGGGATGTGTGTCAAAATTAAAGCACTGTAGTAACATGTCTATCTTTTTACTTATGTGAGTGGACGTACTGAATTTGAATAGTCAGTGTCTTCTGAGTGGTCCATCACTCACTCATCTTTCCTGTTTGCATCTTCACATCAGTAACTGGCTACCTGGAGCCAGTCAGATGTTTACTATACTGTCTTCCTTGGTTACAAGCAGCCTTTGCTGTGCATGTTTCCTGGGGTCTCAGAAGTATTTAGCAGTTTCCATGTGCCCTTGATTCATTTAGTGACAGAAGACAGCATGAGGCTCTTTAGTCTTCATTACTGCAGGTATGGCATGTAAGTGCTACAGATGAGTTTAAAATGCAAGGATAACTTGCTACATTCATCCAGAAGTATCCCGTAAAATTTTGAGTGTTCTTTAAAAAAGCTGCATAAATGCCTAAAGGCTTTTTAACTACCATTGTAAAAAGAATGATAAAAGTGTGAAAAAGAAGACATAACTGGACAATTGAACTGATTGTTCTGCCTATTCATTTTAAAGTTTTTTCAGGCAAGTTAGAAACTTCAGCTTTACAGTATGATAAAACTGTTACTCTTGCTATCATTACTGTTATTGCTTCCAGTTTAGCAAAGTGTTTATGCATGTGCAGTATTCATCAATAAAACATTTGCCTTCATATTTGTCAAGTCACTTAAGCATTTTGCATTTTATTTTGCTCATCCAAATATTTTATGTGTTCTGCATATTTTCTCTTTTGCTCATGCTTTAGAAGTGAATATCTGAAATGTGCTTTATTTATTTATTTATGTTTTTAAGATGGAGGAAAAGAAGTACTCTCAATGCATCAGATTCTTCTCTACTTGTTACGATGCAATAAAGCTCTGGTGCCTGAAGAGGAGATTGCCAACATGCTTCAGTGGGAAGAACTGGAATGGCAGAAATATGCAGAGGAATGCAAAGGGATGATCGTTACCAGCCCTGGCATGGTAGAGCAAATAATTCTGATTTATGAACAACCCAATGACACGTACATGTCTTGTTTCAGCGAGTGTGCTACAGGCTGAATTGGAAAGGGAAAAGATGACCAGTGACAGTTGCAGATTGCTATAGGAACAGTTTATTGACTTGTTCCAACCCTGGGAAGATTTGCACCCTCTGCTGCTCTGCTGAAGGGCAGATTTCCAGATGAATGTTGTTTCAATGTGCATGTTAAAAGGAATGGCTATATTTTATGTATGTGAAACTGTAGCTTGCTCCTCTGCTTTCTTATTTTCTCAGACAGTCTTTATGTGCATGATCTCATTCTCTTTTCCCTGACACAGGACCAGAGAATTAGTAACTATTTGCTATTTTCTGTCATCTTTCTCTTTTGACCCCCTAGCTCTATTTAAGGTGCTCTATCCAGATTCTGCCCTGAATATGGAAAAGGTGTTTTCTGGCTGTTGGTTTGGTGTTTTTTTTTTTCTGTGGTTTTTTCCACATTGTTTCTATGTTGCTCTCACTCACACTGAGGAGTTTTGTGTACATTAATGAACACTTCCATTAATTTTCAGTGCCAAGCTTGAAACCCCTATGGCCTTATTATTTTTGGAACAACTAGTATTTTAAAGTATATGTTCTCTGAATACAGCTCCTTTCAACTCCAGTGTTTATGTGAGTTTAGCCCATTTTTCTGACTTTCACACTTAAGAAACGTGGGTCACAAGAGTAGATGATGTCCACTAAAAGCTGCAGGGTTCTGTTTGCGTGGTTTGATCAGTATCACAAAGTGGTATCTCAGCAGTAGAGGCATGTTCTTGGACCTAATATTTTAGACTGCCATGCAGCTTTCTCAGTTGTAATACCTTTCTTTCTCTGACTTAATTTTCCTCCTTTGCTCATAGCTCAACTTCTTAGCTTCTCCAGAAAAAGTGTGACTTGGTATCATGCCCAGGGGGAAATTCAGTTTGCTAACTGAAAAACTTGTTCCGAAACTGCAGCCAAGGTGACTTCCTAAATATGTTTTTCAAGTTCGTATTTTTAAGTATGGCAGCATTACATTTAATAAACTACTTTATAAGCCAATCATATCTTGGGCAGGATAATTTATTTTTTCCTTGATTTCATTCTGAGTGTTTTTGTTCTGGCTAAAACTTTCTAGACCAAAAGGAAAATAAGATTGTCTGTGGGAACATGAAATACAGAATACATGTGAACTCTCACTATGGAAAATTCTACCTGAACTGGTTAAAACTGAGTGCTAAACCAGAATCTCATGATAGAAATTGTTAGACTGTTTAACTTAATGTTGCCTGTGGTTTCTGTGATACAAGGCACGTGCTAGTGCACAAGTCGTCAGCATCTGAATGGTATATGCTGACATAACTTCAGTGGTTTTGCTGAAGATATGCTGATTGCAGCTAGCTGAAAATTTGCTTTTTTGTTTAGCGCGAAGGAACACATATAGGCTCCTTCCTTGTGTCACTGAACTGTAAATGTCTGTATGCACAAGGCAGTGCAGTTAGTGAGTGGTAGTGTTAATTTTGAGATTTTGTGTGATTTTTACTGACAAACTTTGCAGTCTACAAGACTGCATTTTTAGAGATGCGTGTGGACATCAAAATATGTAAGCATAAAAGAAATCTGCAGCACTTTGAAACGTTGTCATGTTTTAATGCCATCATTAGAACATGTTTTTTCTCTCAAGAAGATTGCAATGACTTTCTTCTTAGTTTGTGGTTTTTTTCTGTTCATTGCAGCATATGCTATTGAGTATGAAAGTCAGTGAAAAATAGAGTATGAAAGTATTTTCTATGCATTTTACAACGCTAGAAGATAAAACAGTTCTGTTATAGGGACAATGTGAAACTGTTTTAGAAAATGACAGCTCTTCAATTCAGTTTTATCCACTTGACACAACAAAGTAAAACCACTAAATTTTGTTTTGCTGCTTTCCTCCACAACATCACTTCAGAAATAATAATTCTTCTTATGAGCAGATCTAGGTTTTATATATGTATTTTATTTTTTTAAAAAGGGAGGTGTATATATGCATGATGGAGAAGGGAAAAAATTTTGAGAGACATATAAATCCCATTTACTTAAACAACTAATAGTTCAGCATTATTTAAAACCCGTTAATTTATTCATGGTATTTCATTAGTTCAGTGAAACTTTGTGTTGGAATAGATTTAAAAGTTCACAAATTTTAATCCTCTTTAATACTTTACTCTTTCTTTTTAAAATATTGCTGCTTTTCTCACTAGACAAATATGTATGTATTATAACACACTTTTGTACTACATCTGCATGCAATCTCATCATGTCTTCCAATATCAGCAAAGCCTTGATTGATGAGGTTTGGAGTAGGAAACAAAGATAATGGGCCTCTGTTCTGTTAGAATTTCTGTTTTCAATGAGATTTTACAAGCAAGGTTGTGATTATTAGATGGTGTCTCACAGGACTTTTAAAAGAACACAGGGATAAAAACCTGGAAGATTAACATCTAATTTGCTTGCGTCCTGTCTGCTGGTGTGCCATTTATACTGTATCTTTCTGTATGGTGCTGTTTGTTCATTTAACCTTCAGAAACAGCACCAGCGAGGAAGCTAGTGTTCACCGTGCTGAAGAAAAAAAGCGTAGCTTAGCTACTCCCCTCGTTACCGTCAGTGAAGGAACAATTGTGATTAAGTCTTAAACAAGGAGTTCTTTTGTCCTGTTTGTTATCAGGCATCTGTGAACAGCTGTGTAACTGAGTGACAAAACTCAAAGGCAGTGACATATAAATAAAGAGTGGATCTGAGTGATCCCGAGGCCATGTTTCACACAGACCCTGCTATAGGCGTATTGAAAGCTCTTCTCCCTTTCACACTTTTGAGGATCAGATTACTTTTATTTAAGTGTCTAAAATGTGAAACATTTGAATAGGAAAAACATTGTCTGTAATTTTTTAAAATATATTGATTATAATTGGTTTATTGAGTAGAATTATTCTTCCGTAGTCTGTTAATCATATTTTGCTGCCTTGGTTCTCAGTGGAGTTGTTGTGTAGCAAGGCTGCTTTTTTGAGGGGGGCAGGGATGGGAGAAGTTCCTCATTTTCAACTAAAATGAGGGGAGAACCAACGAACAACTTTTGTGAAGATAAAAACTTTTCAAATTGGCTTTGTGCAAACCCCACAAAACCAGATAAACTTAAATTTCAGGACTTTAAGCTCTGGTTTAGAGAACAACATTCTGCCTGCTACTAATCCTCCCCATGTTTTTCATTAGGTTTTGTTGTCCTAATCCCTTTTTATTGGAATTGCTGTGGGGAAAACCTTTTCTCTTCTTTTTTCATTTTTTTTTTTTTTTTTTAAACCTGGCAGCATGAGCTAACTAACTTAATTTTTTTTATTTTTTCTTTTTTTGGCTGGGGAGATGTAACTTTATGTTCAGTCATCATGTCCAAAGGGAAGCTAATAAGCATTTTTCCCTTGGAAAATGTTTCTCTATCTGAATGTCAAGATTTTAAGTAAGTTTTTGTTTTTCTAGAGTAGATTGGAAATGTGGCGACCTGATGAGGCTTACCTTTATTTCTTTGCTTATCCATGCAGAAAATGATTCCTTTGAACAGTTCTGCCAAGGTGGTTTGAAGGGTGAAAGCTTTGTTCTTGACACAGTTTTTATTGTTTTGTGAAGAGAATGGTGGGAGCTGTTTCTGTAACTCTGAAACTCATCTTTGAGAAATTCACAATGCTAAATTAGAAGTTTTGAGATGCAGGTAACTAGAAGTAATGCCCTTTTTCTGAAACCTTAGACAACAGAAAATATTGGCCTCATCCAGCTGATTGCAAAATGGGGAGTAAGCAGGCACATAACAAAGCAGCTTGCCAGGTAATGGAGAAAATGTTTACTTGGAGACAAACTGTGCACCTTCAACTGAGTTTTTAAATATGTTAGGTAAGTGATCGAGAGCTCTGTAAGCAGGGTGTCTTCTACAGTGATGTGCAATTACTCATTTTCTGCGTTTTTAGAGGTGAAGCAAAAGTTACTTCCTTCTACACTGTCCTTTTTAACTATAAAAAGAACTTCTGTTTTGAAGTGTAAAAGGGACAAAAGTCTCCTCATTATACAAGACTGTCTTCCTCATTGTACACATCTGCCTAGGAGCTTTTTCTAAGAGTAGCATGACAGATTTTTTAATGCTGTTTAGTCAGTGTGATTGAATGGATCTAATAATGGCTTCACTTGCTTTGGGAAATCAGGAACAGAACTAAAATTAGAGAGGTAACCTGATCTTAGCAAACTACTGAGGCATGTGGGAGCTTGGATGCCAGAATGCTAATCCTGATTTTATTTCCAGTGTGATGTTCAACCAAAGTAAGTTGCTTTAAGTTCTCGGAAATAATCAAACTGTGAATTTCCTGACTTGCAAAATGAAAATAAAAAGACTTCCTTTTTTTTCTGGAAGAGCTAAGTCAATTAACATTGTTTCAGTCATTGTCATTGCCAAATATTTATTATGATATTAATGATTAGTTTTCTGTGTATATTAGTAAGCTTGGAATATTGCTGCTTCATGGTTCCTGGATAGTGTGAGCTAGAGGCAATAAATTTTCCATGGAGCTGTTGTCAATTAGGAATATCTTGGTTTTTCTCCTAGAAACCGAGCTCAGTTCGTATTGATCAACTGGACCGTGAACAGTTCAATCCTGATGTAATTACTTTCCCCATTATTGTCCACTTCGGGATACGACCTGCTCAACTCAGTTACGCTGGAGATCCTCAGTAAGATGCTTTTCCTTCCATCTTCCTTTCAGAAACTCATTACTCTTGTAATTTGTGGCTTAAATAGGGCTTATTTATGTGCTTAATAGAGTCCAATATAAAGCTTAGTGCTTATGGCATTGGACACTAGCTCTTGTAAATTAGAGAATATAAGGTATAACTTCTTTTTTCTGGCACAATTCAGGATCTGCTGAAGTAAATGTGTATGCATGTGCAGTATGAAATTTGTCAACCTGAGAACGGCTCTTCTAGGTCAGACTAAAGGTTCCTCAAGCTCCACGTTATTTCTCTGAGAGGCCAGTTGTGGGTTTTTAGAGAGAGAAGAGTGTAACAGGAAGGCAGAGGGGAAGAAATACTTACCCAGGCTTCCGAAGGTCTGTAGCACATGAACTTCTGAGCTAGGGGATGTATTTAGATCATTTTGTTTAACAGCCCTGAATAAACCTTCCTTCTCTAAATTTCTCAAATCACTGTTTGAATCTTTTTATGCTGCTCACAGGGAGAAGATTTCAGGTAATCACTTCCCCAGTACTGTTGTGCATCATATGAAAAAGGACTGACTTCTGTTTCAGAGCTGCTACTTGATCATTTAATTAGATGCTCTTCAGGTCTTACATTTAATAACGAAGAATATAGCCATTTTCTGTTTGCTTTCTTCGTGACATTTATGTTTCTTGCACCCTGCCATATCCTACCTAGTTATCTCTTTCTATGCCTTGAAGGATTAGGTCTACATACTGTTTCCTAGCTTGGAAGCTGTTGCGTTCATGCTACTTTTCTCTGTACCTTTTATATCCTTATAGAGATTGGGAGGAATGTAGCGAAGGAGTGGAGAAGGAATCAGAACTTCAGGCAAAGCAAGAAATACTGTTTCACTGTGGATTCGTGTAGTGGCATAAAAATGATTGCTGGATTTTGTTCACAATTCTTTTCTTAATTTGACAATTTCAGGGAACTTTTCCAATGATTTGTAGATCTGTATTCTGAATGATGACAGACAGCATAGAGCCCATCTCTTGTGCATGTATAGTTAAGGTTGTCTTTTTCCTCATGCATTTTTGTCCAGTGTCTTTTAAAGACGTTGAATTTCACCTGCAGTTTTGAGGCCAAATCACTCACGTGCATGTATGACATATTCTTCTACAACTCCTTGCTGAGAATTTTAGATTTAATGCAGTACGAAGTGGGAAGAGTGAGTGCTTATCCAGATAATAACATATCTTCTTTTGGCTTTGAGCATGACTTTTAATCCTCCTCATCTTTTAGTTTTCTTATTCATAAAAAGAAAATAATTAGATCAAAGAATATAAGAACCACCTCTAGTTTGATACTGAATTTGTTAATATTTCTAAAGTTCTAGTACCTTGCATTGAAAACAGTATAAAGATACAAAAAGTATTCTTCACACACTTTTTTAACTTTCTTTAAAACTTCCATGGCTTTTTTTTTTTTTTTTTTTTGTCCAGAGCTGCTTACAGAATTTAGGCGTGCTTCTTTTTATCAAAGTAACAAAGCAGTTTTTGTGGAAGACCCCTGTGGTGCCATCATAAATATCAGGCTTAACTCTGGTGTATGTGTGAAATAGGTAATGCCCAGAAAAGTTTTTCTTCTAGTGTGTCTTTTCTTTATGAGGTTCTAATACAGAATTTTTGTTATTGTAATCTGTTTATTAATTCTCAAACTTAACTGTAATAACAGAGCTTGTTCCACCCATATTAATACTAGTAGTAAAACATATATTGTAGATCATAGTTTCAGGTTCTTGATTTTAGGTTGAAACCTCCTCATGGCATTTGTTTGTTTTCTGGTTGGTTGATTTGTTCATTAACTCATTTTTCTTCTTTTGGTGGGGATTTGTCAGAAATAGATGTGCTATTCTGCAGATTGCAGAAATGCGGAGAAGAGAGCATAAGAAAAATCTATGGATTGACCATTTCAGATGTGTTTATAGACTCAAAAAATATCAGCACCTCTGGAGGCTGGGGGTATGCATTCAAGAATGCTGTAGAGAAATGACTGGAATGGAAAAAATGCCAATAAGAAAAGATCTGGTTTTGTGCCTGTGAATGTGGGATGCTGGGAAGATTATCAAATAGTAAAAGAGCTGCTGCTTCATTTACTGCTTTGCCACTAACGTGGTAACTTCCTACCAAAACCACTGCTCTAAGTTGGTGCTGAGGAGGATCTTCTTTTATAATGTAAATATAAAAGAAAATAAATTACTTGGGGAAACTTCTTCCCTCTGTCCTCTAATTCCCTGCTTCCTATTAAAAGTCTGGTTTTATAGGTTTTCTTGAAAAACCTCTACAGAGGTGATACTATTTTGAAGATAGCATTGTTTCCTACGGACACAAAGTCCATGTCATGATTCTCTTGGTTGCTCCTCCCATAGTAACTTTTGAACCTGTGGGTCAATTGCAGCTGCATATAATGGTGGGATGTTGTCTACAAATGGAATAAGTTCTTACAAGTTTTGTGAAAATCCGTGCTAGATAGCAGAGAGACTCCCACCAAGGAAAAAGTTCTGTTATTGAAGTTCATGTGTAATTAGACACTCCCAAAATACGAGAAGCTAGACGGTTGGAGAAAACCAAAAACCTTAAGTATATGCTAACCACAGAGAAAAACTGACTTGCTGTTTCCATTCAGCACAAACCCATAGGGAACGAAACTTTTATTTCACTGTTCACAGAATGACTTCGTGTTGCACATGACTTGTAGAGCTTTTCCTCATGTGTTTCACTGAAACGTTTCAGCCAGTGTAAGGACAGACACTTCTTGGGAGAGGTTACTACTGCTTTTCAGTGAGTGATAGGTAAACCCTTTAGAGAAGAGGGAGTTTTCACCTGCCTGAATTGAGATGTCATGCTGCGGGCAATTCTTTTCAACATGCAGAGGTGGCCCTTTGGAGAGGACGGGTGGGTATCTGGGAGATCTGGGTTCTGCCCTGAGCTTTGCTGTTCACCTCACACTGAACACTAATGCCTCCTCTCTGCTGCTGTGTCCGCCCAGCTGGAACAACTGCAGAGACACTCTCTGCATCATCTCTCTTGGAAAATGGTTTGAGATTTTTTCTGGAGCAAAAAAATGCTTGTAGACAATGTGTGTGTATATGGGTGCATTATTAGCAGCTGGTGCATTCATAAGGACAAACAGTGAGAAACTTTTGTCGTATCGACCAAAATACTTGTTTTCTGGTTTTGTCCTTCAGGTACCAAAAGCTGTGGAAGAGTTACGTGAAACTGCGTCACCTGCTGGCTAATAGTCCCAAAGTCAAACAGGCTGATAAACAGAAATTATCACAAAGAGAGGTATGCTGGGCCTTCCTATAATTGATAATTGAGCACGGTGATTCAGGATGGAATAAAGCCATGTGACCGCCCTGTTTATGGAAACAATAGAAATCCTTCACAAAAGATTTTCTTTTCAGGCTGTTAACACTGATTTTATTTTTACCTCTGCTTGTTAGTAAATGGATTTTTTTTCTTTTCTCAGCTGTCAAACTACTGCAAGTTTTTTACCCAATTATAGAAATGATCATTATAAAACCATAATTTCTTTATAGCCATTGCCATTAATGGTTCCAAGAATTAGCATAGAGAAGGACTTTTTATTTCAGAGTGCACTTTTAACTGGCTCATAATTTTAAACATTTCTCTTCTGAGATAAAAACTGCCACACTTGTGCATGGTTTTAAACTGTAATTTATAAGACAGTCTTAGTGACGTTCCTTAAGATCTTTGAGTCGAAATCATCTGGTGGTTGTTATTTTCAGTAATATTTAATGGCAAATGAGGTATTTGTTGAATTTTTGTCTTTTCTCTTTTTTTTCCCCAAAGTGATGAGCAATAAGAATTTCCTAAATGCAGATGCTCAACCAATAGGGAATTAAAATCAGAAAAATAAAGTCACCTAAATATAGACTAAAGCAGCCTGCTCTCAGGTATCTATTTTTTTTAAGATCTTGGGCTGAAGTTTTGAGTTTGTTTGGTGCATGTCTACCAGGCATTCTTAATTGGAAAACTTATGTAAGGAATACATAGGAGAAATTAACTTCTTTGGTACCGGATGGAATTTACTTAAGTGGTGTTGTGGTTTTATTTATTGATTAGAAATCCTGATGATTCTTAGAATCATAGAATATCCTGAGTTGGAAAGGACCCATGAGGATCATTGAGTCCAATTCCTGAGTTTTCCCTGGTTGGCTAATTGTGTAGCTTTGGTTGCAGTAAATGTTTGATACATTTGACATTGCACTTGATTTTTATTATTACTGCAAAGCATAGTATGCTGTTGCATGAGCAAGAGTCTTAGTTAACGTTTTATTTATGGTGATATTAGATAAGCCCTTAGCTTTCTTACTTGTAAATGGGGAAAAACTACAATGTTGTGACTTAACTGTGCCACACTTGTAAGGAAAAAAAAAATTGTCCCTATAGGAAATTATTTTGTTTGCTACAGCTTTCTACACTCAGAGCAAGTAGGAAGGAAGACCATTGTTTTATGGGCATCTTTTCATTAGGGGCTAATGGATGACCTATTTGTAAAATTGTAGTGGATTGTATGTAGGGGGGTGATTATGTTTTACTTCAAAAGATAAAATGCTCCTTTGGTATTTATCGCTTACTGTGTGGTGTGTTGATTTTTGTTTCTAGACTATATTATCTAGGATAATGGATTTATGAAGTAGTTGTCTGCCATCTGAGAGGCATATGGGCCTGAAGCAGAAGCTTTATGTGAGGATAACCTATGCATTTTGCCAATGGATACGTCAGTAACTTAGAAGGAGCTGTAGGGCTGCGACTGGTACATGGGCTTTCAAAGATTATGAATCATATAAGTAACCCTGGAGTGCTCCTGAGCCAGTCAGCCTGAAAGTACAGCTAGGTCTAGCAAACACTGTAGCACCCGTCTCAGAAAACACCCAATGACACAGCCTCGAAATGCAAATTTTAGACAATGCACAAGGGGTGCAGTGCTGTAAGCATCTCTGTTCCTTCTGCCATTGGTCATTCGCTACTACGAGATTGTATGATGTTATCATTTGTGAAAAGGTCGTGCCTGGGGGCTTTATTCCTCTAACCTAACTTTGAGCGTTTAGAGCAGGTGCATAAATTGGGACCTGGAAGCTCACTTTGAAGTCAATGGAGAGAGAAATGCATTTTTTGAAGCCATTTATCCCCCTTCATTGAATATAAAAGGAGCCAGGGCTAACTAGCTTCTTACCCTAGACACCTCAGTATTAAGGTGTCTGAGGTTTGATGAATCTGCATCTGGATAGATGCGCCTCTTGGAACCACTTTGTAAGTCTCTGCAGAACAGAAGACAGAGCCCGTTCCTGCCCAGAGATGCTCACAGGCTTCAGACTGGAAGCTGGGAAGAGATGGCTTTGAGCAACTGTAGTGAAAAGGAGAAAGAGCTGGGTTGCAGCTTTGAGAAGTTTCATATTCTGAAGAAGGAAGAGCACTGAGGGAGTCTTTACCATTAGTGCATGCTGTGTGGGGAGCTTGCATACCTTGGGGCTTTGTAATATTGGAACCAGGAGATCCTGATCCAGGGGTGATTTATTTTAGCTGGTTTTCTTTCATTCCATTTTTACAGAAAATATTGTCTTTTAATGATTCTGTCAGAATCTTTTGATGATTCTGTCCCTTTCATAGTTTCTAGAGACAAATAAACTGTTTGCACAACACCAAACAGCCAGTGGTCAAGGCAAAACAGATTTTTTTTTTTTTTTTTTTTTTTTTTTAATTGAAAATTGAAATAATATTAGTAGATTTCATCATAATAGGCTCCAGGACTAGTGAATGCTGACACCTTACCCAGACTGGGAGTATGGACAATGTTGAATAGGAACTATTATGAAGTAGCCAAGATCACAAAACAAAGCCTTTCTTTTACTTAGTCTGTTTTATTGTTACTGAATGCTTCGAACCAGGAGTACTCACATGACGGACTTGAATGAAGAGGTTGTTTTGCACATAGGGGTAAAGAAGTGCATTCGTTATAAGGACCTTAACTTGCTTACTTACGTATCATCTTGGATGAACAAATTGGACTGCGTTGTTCTGTCATTTGCCGTAAAGAATGTAGTCACCTCTGTTCTCTTCTCGCTATACCAAAATCCGCTGTCTATACTGTACTCCAGCACGTCCACCGCAGTCTGTGGCTGGCAGTTACAAGATCTGGACTAGTCTTAGTAACTGCTCGCCAAAAGCGAACTTTAAAACGGGTATTATGAACGCACTCATGTGTGCATTGATACTGCTTTGTTGTAGGAAGTTCTTCACAGGAGCTCCGTTCTCTCCCTGTCTAGGAAGCACTGCAGAAAATTCGTCAGAAGAACACAATGAGACGTGAAGTGACCGTCGAGTTGAGTAGCCAGGGATTCTGGAAAACAGGGATACGCTCTGACGTCTGCCAGGTGACTAAACTGCAGAGATGTCTGAAGTATTTTCTTTCTTGGTAGCTGCCATTTACCTCTTGCAAGGGTTTCTTGTGATTCTAGGCTGGAGAAATGGTAATGAATACCTTTGCCTCAATAAGATCTGTTGATTTAGGGAACTATTCTAGTGTCCTGTCCATCCCCTCCACACACAAAACAAGTTATTTTAAAATTTTAGTTTTCTTGCCACTGGTTGATTAGCAAAAGGGAGAGGGGGTAGGAATGGCCAACTTGAGGCTGGAGGTTAGCCAAATGTTGAGTCCAGTGTGGAACTCCAAGAGTTTCTTCATCCATCAATTGGGTTGGTTTTAGATATTTTTATTTTAATATATTTTTCTGTTTAGATATTTTAAAAAAAAAAATTTACAGTGAAGCATGAAGAAGTATCTTTTTACTTGAAAGAAAAGAAAGTTAAAAAAAAACACCACAGCTAACTTTTGGATTAAAACAGATGACCCTCAGTAGGAAGATATCTTTCAGATACTCTGTTTCATACACATGACATCTCCAAGGTACAGATCTCTGCCAGATCCTATTCTGAAGCAGTTGACAGCCACCAGCTTTGAGATACGATGAAAATAAGTGCAATTTTTAGATAATATTATATTAATAAAATTCAAGTAGTTATAACAGCCAAGTAAATATACTAGAGGTATGCTTGCATCATTTTTTTAGCTGTTGTTTTGGAGATGTTATTTAAGAACTAAATGCTTACAATTTAATATTAACCTAACAGGTTGAAGTGTAAACTTTGGGGGTTGCTAGGCAAAGGTAGAGGTGGAAATCCTGTTGTTATCTTAGAAGTCTGGTAAGGCCAAAGGGGAAATTCTAATGGGAGAGAAATGCTAATACCTAAAATTGCTTTTCTTCTGTCTGAAACATTTATTGTGATTGTACTATTGCTTCTGAAGTCGAAAAAAGAGAATAATGGAATAGTATCTTCTCTAGCTGAGGAAAATTACAGCCCTTTTCTAATTTTCTGTTGTGAACTCTATCTATTTTTACAGGTTAAGTAAACAGTGTAAACTTTTAATTTGGGAGCTTTGAAACAGTTCCATGTTATTCATAATATCTTCTGTGATTCATCTTTTAATGTCTTCTTGGATATTTCTGTTTCGTTTTGTGTTGAAGGACAGCAAAACACCAAAGAACGATGAAAGTAAAGCTATTTCACGTTTTTGTGCCCATCTGCAGCCATAACATCTAAATCAGCCAGTTCTGGTATGAAGGTCCTTTGATATGATTTCTTTGAGAGGCCAAGAGTAGGCAAACTGTATGTCTGTAAAATGAAAGATTGCTGCTGTTGCTTTTTCCCATATTAAAGAACAGTAAAACTAAATACACATAAATCAACTCTGTGGGCAGAGCTGAAGTGCACTTATTTAAAATTAATGCTTTTAAAAGCATTGCCGTTTAGAAGATTGAAACTCTTTTGAGTCACTCTGATAGCTTATAGTTGCTCTAAGTTCCACATAGCAGTAATGACACTGGTCTTTGCAGTCTCAGAAATGAACTGCTTGGAGGGGGAGGAAAAAGGGTGAGTGAAATGTTCCAAAAATGTAAAATGACTGTGTTCTGCCTGGCTCACTTGAAGTTATCCAGTAGATAAAGTGCACTACTTGGCCACTAAGCTGGGCAGCACTTACTAGGCAGTCTGGCAGGATGGGGCCACGCTGAGAAGATACCACTCCCCCATCCCCACATCGTTGCCTGTATTGTTACTGGTGTGCCCTCAACAGCTGTGTAAGTGTTCAGGGTGAGGAGAGAAATGATGCATTTCAAAATATTTCAGCTCACCTGGTTCTTCTAGTAGCTTCAGGTCTGAAGCGTCTGCCAGCCTGGGGGATGGTGGCATTAGCTGGGGGCACCTGAGAGAGTCCCTGCCTTGCCATGCCAGCTGCACAAAGAAAAGAACATGCAGCATAGTTAAAATCATGCATATATTTAAAACAAAAAAGAAGTTACTTGTATGTTTATAACCAAATGCAAGTACCAAGGTTATGGGATAACTCCTGTGGCCATATGGTTTCAGGAGACTTTTTTTTAATCACTAGCCATTCTTTAGCCTAATATAATTTTTAAAGCATATATTTTATTTTATTACAAAGAGATAAATACATAAAACATCAGAAACATCAAATAGCTATAATCCAACAAGATGCACATTAATTGTGTATTAATCAAGTATTTAGTTCCACGAAAGCAGCACTTTGTCAGTATAACTGCAAGAGTCAAATTAAAGACTTTCTGTGTGCTCCCAGGGAGATGTCAGTTCTTCATTCACTGCACTACAGCTGATAAAAATCTAAAACTATGTTTCAGTCCTCAAAGTCAGGGCTGCATGTATTGGTATAAAGAATATTAAACCTTGCTTGAGGGACTCTTTCTGCCTAGTGCAGTGGAACATACAGGCTGGAAAGCAGAGTTGTCCCATGAAACAAGTTTTGGGTTTTTTGGTTTTATTGGGTTTTTTTGTAATGAATTCCTTCTATGAAGGAAGACATAGGAAGCACACCTGTACAGTTTATATGGAAATAAGAGGGGTGTTCCCCTAGCTTGTAAATTACCCTAAGAAAACTCTAAATGAGTGATATGGTAACAAAATAAAATTTCACTTACACTTACTCAGTTTGCTTTGAGTGGTTTTGCATTTTTCAGCCATTCAGAGATCCAGAGAGTCTTTTTCTTGCTGTTAACTAGTTACTTCCATCCAGCGGAAAAGGACCTGGGGTTGTTGGTCAACAGCCAGCTGAACATGAGCTGGCAGTGTGCCCAGGTGGCCAAGAAGGCCAATGGCATCCTGGCCTCTATCAGAAATAGTGTGGCCAGCAGGAGGAGGGAGGTGATCGTGCCCCTGTACTCGGCCCTGGTGAGGCCGCACCTCGAATCCTGTGTTCAGTTTTGGGCCCCTTACTACAAGGACATTGAGGTGCTGGAGCGTGCCTTCCAGAGAAGGGCAACGAAGCTGGTGAAGGGTCTGGAGCACAAGTCTTATGAGGAGCGGCTGAGGGAACTGGGGCTGTTTAGCCTGGAGAAGAGGAGGCTGAGGGGAGACCTCATTGCGCTCTACAACTACCTGACAGGAGGTTGTAGCGAGGTGGGGGTTGGTCTCTTCTGCCAAGTAACTAGTGATAGGACGAGAGGAAACGGCCTCAAGTTGCGCCGGGGAGGTTTAGACTGGACATTAGGAAACATCTCTTCACTGAAAGAGTGGTCAAGCATTGGAACAGGCTGCCCAGGGAAGTGGTTGAGCCACCATCCGTGGAGGTATTTGAAAGACATATAGACATGGCGCTTAGCGACATGTTTAGTGGTGAACTTGGCAGTGTTAGGTTTATGGTTGGACTTGATGATCTTAGAGGTCTTTTCCAACCTAAATGATTCTATGATTACTTTCCAGCTATGTGTTCAGTTCTCAAGAATTTTGCAGTCTTTTACTTAAACAGAAAGTATTACCATTGGTTATTCTTCTCAGTGTTGTAACATTCACCAGTTTGTATTTTTTGCTGTTCTTTCTTTAATGACATGCAGAAATCTATAACATCATTTATTCTGTAAATTATGCATCTGCTTTGTATGCTTGTTTTTCTTGCATCTCTCCACACTGTATGCTCATCTTCTGTAATCGTGCACATTCCTTTTTCTGAAATTAATAGTGATAGCCCTCAGATTTTCATTCCCTTAAAACATGTCATTCTTTTGAATATATTCATGTCATGTCACTAATGGGAATGATTAGAAGAACTGAAATTTGATATCAGTGTCACAAAAATGGTCACATATATGAAATTCTTTAAATACTGACGTTTCTCCTGTAGCTCTTACTTTTCACTCTTATGCAAGATTTTTGATGTTGATATCATACTTGCTTGTACTACCGTGCTGATAAACTATACTACTTACTTATTTCAACCCAGATCCAAAGTCAATATTAGGTAGAAATCCTCAGTGTTGTGACAAATGGAAAGTGTTTGTATTTATAGCTTAGTCAGCTGAGTACTCTGCACACTGAAGTTGAATGCTTTTCCTTATTGCAATTGTTTTTTAGCATGCAATGATGCTTCCTGTCCTCACCCACCACGTCCGCTACCATCAGTGTCTGATGCATTTGGACAAATTGATAGGCTACACTTTTCGAGATAGGTGCTTGCTGCAGGTAAGTAATGAAAAAAATGAACTACTTGCTGGTTTGTCTTCCTAATATTACTGAGTGTATCCATAATTCCGCCTGCTGTACAAACTTGAGAAATGCACTGCATTGCCACAGCTTGGACGTACTTGATTATTAGCACTGCAGATCTTTCAAAAGTTTCAGTTATCTCAAGAAACTTCTAAATAGAGACATCTGTTGTGCATGTAGGCATACACCTACCTTTGCTTCAGTGGTAGGTCTGGATTTGCTTGTGATGTGTAGAAAGACAAATATGTGCTTACTGAAAGACTGTCAGGTACATTACTCATTATTTCCGTGTAAGTTCTTTTTTTAGGTATTTGTGAAGAATATAATGTTATTCTGCAGATGAGCGTACATGCTTTGCTCCTTCCTTTTATAGTCTGTTGTTCCAAAAAAGAATAACTTAAGCATTGCTTTTTTATTCTACATTTATAGCTAGTGAAAAGGAATTTGCAAACTTCTGTTCAGCTATTGATTTCTACAAGTACATGATGAAATTTTTGCATTTACAAACACGGGCAGGAACTAGAGAGGAGAATTTCTTATTTATTTTAAATGCATCCATTTTGCATGACCAGTCATTTATATAAGTGCTTATTTGGAAGTGATCAGCTCCAGAAGGCTGACTCTTGGCATGGTGGCCCCTTTTCTCTTACGTTTTTCTAAAGTTACTGAAGAGAAATGGAGACTTCTGTTTAGGATTTCCCCCTGAAATAAGCATCCTCTCTCTCCACTGACTGGGGCTGAGAAAGGTGAATTTTCTCTGAGTTCAAAACATGCAGTTTCTGTATGTGTATGGAGACTTTACTCCCAAACTACTTTAAGCAGAGGCTTTTGGAAAAATCTTTTCTCATAGCTTCTCTGTTTTCTAGAAGTTGGTTTCCAGGGCTTGTCCTACTGTCGCAGATGAGTGATTTAGGTCTTTTAAAGAATCACCATCAAAAGTACTAGCAAAAAGTGCTTTTAATAGGAATTTATAAAAGCATGACCTAACAAAGTTCGATGGCAAGGTTCACTCTATCACTTACTACATGGATGAAACATACAGAGGAAAAATTGAGTTAAAATTCAGCTAGAATGATTTATACAGAGACTGAAGACGCAAAAGGGTAAGGGAGACCCTCCCGTTGAGTCACGAGGTTCAGAGAAGACCCCCTTGCTTTCTAAACTCCTGGTGGAGCTTAGGTGTGCCTGGATCCACTCCTAGTCCCAGACTTGGCCAGCGGTTTATGTCTAAGGGATTATATGTGTCTAGCAGCAGTCTAAGGTTCATTCACAGTTTTAAGGTGAATCACAAGATTGTAGCAGCACTTAATCATTGACTAATTTAACATTTAAAAAACGAGTCAATAGAATTTACTACAGTCACAACAGTGACTTAATTACAGATTCGAGATGGCAATATTTATACTATACTTGCTATCTGGTACCTACATCAATTAACACATGCACACACACAGAGACACAAAGATATATAAATGTACAAAGATACACCTGTTAAAAATTCCCCTTGAGTTCAGTGAAATATTCACTTCAAATGTCTCGGCATTTCTCAACGGGCAAGGGTTGAGCCTCAAGGAGTGAAGGGTTTCAGCCCAGGTCCCGTCGTCAGATTTCAGCAGCGGTCCTCTGAACTTCGCAAACTTGAGAGTTTGCGAGCTCTGAGAGGCATCCCACTCAGAGGGAGATGCTGGTCACAGCCCACTGCGGTCCAAGAGAGCTCAAAGGTCCTCACTTAGGACCACCGTTTATGGGTTCGCAAGATGATTGGCTTTAGTCATCCATAAATTTCCATCCTGGCCAGAATCCAGGTCGGTAATTACTGAATTATCAAAATTCCAGTAACGATGGTACCGTCCCACTCAAGCTATGATCAAGGTAAGGAATGTTCCAAGGCTGTCAGGGGATGACAAATTAATCCCGTTCTCATTCCCCACCTTGGCCAGGCAACAGGAATTCCTGGTATGGTCAGTGCTGCTCCCCACCTTACCCATGCAAGAGTTCCTGGTATGGTCAAGGGACGCTTAACCACCCAACTCATTACACAAAGGCCAAGCCTAATGGGAATTCCTGAGATCGTAGACCGGCCCAGGAGAGAGGGGGAGATGCACCACCACACCTACTGAAAGTTACATTAAGCATTGAGCATCTTGTAGGATTAATTTGTTCGCAGGCTGCCTTAGTTTTAATATGAAAGATAAAAATGCAGTGATGGAAATCTTCAAAATGTTGAGACCAAACACACAAACCAAAAAGCAAATTGCAGTCTAAAAAGGGAGAAATCATAAAATCAAGTGTGTCAGTATTAGTCAAATTAATGTTTAGTTATACCAAAAGTACTTTTTAATGATTGATCCCTGTGCAAATTTATTTAAAACCTACAAACTTGTTCCAGAAGAGAAAGAGCGTTTTAAAAATGTGTATAGCACCAGTCACCTACTTAAGCATAGGCAATATTAGATGTATAATTTTGCATTGATTTTTACCTGTTTCATCATGATATATTCTTTTTAAAGTACAAACTGGGCAAGAAAGATTACTCTAATTTAACTATTCAGAGAAGTTGTAATGTGTCATCCAGTTCAGATGGAGCAGAAGTTGAGAATGTGCAATTATGACAAACTCAATAATATTAGTGAGGAATTAAAAAGGACTTGGAGAAAGTTCTTATTGTTGATTAAATGTAATTTTACTCTTTAAAATAATTAAAATAAACTTCTCTAAGTCTTGTGTTTGGAAAGCCACAGACAATGTTTGAATTAACTACTGGAATGTCTTTGCTCACAGCCTGCAGCACCAGAAGTGTTTCAGAAGTAACTTTCTGCAGCTTGAATTTGCCAGTGTATCTCTTGTTTTATATATGAGGTGTGTGTACACATGCACTTATACGTGCATAATATTTTTAGGTGTGTACGTGTAAAGAAAGAGAAAATGCATGAGTTTCAAGGATGGAGGCATAAAAGCTAGCTGTAGTTCTACTTACTGCAGCCATTTTTATAGTGGTGGTGTCAGCAGCTGAGTAAGCTTTTGATAATGCTAGACCTAGCATCTAGCTAAGTCTTAGCTAGGTGCTAAGACCAATCCTGCCATTGCTGTTCACTTCCAATTGAAGAGTGGCCCTGTATAGTGATGAGAGAAAGAGTTGTTCTGTGAATAACCACGCCAGAGATAATATACTTGTCTGTGGTTGTTTGGTTTTTTGAAGTAGGGAAGTTTTATAGATATTTAAATAACCTAAATTAAATATGTGAATCATTGAGAAGCTCTTCTAGTTGTTCGTATTTTTAATATGAATATTTATGCTGCAGTGTTAGAGTGAATATATGTTTAAATAAGCAAATGTATTGAAATCAGGTCAGCAAAACTGGTAAGCAAAACTCTTAGGGCAAATTGACAGTTCATGCTTTTTCTTTTCTAAACTAATTTTTCTTTAAAGAAAAAAAAAACTGTTGAAAGTTAATTAGTTAAACTGATGATTGGGCATAAATGTTGCTTCTTTCCGACATCTGAAATAGTACATCCTACATGTAAATTGCTGGAACCAAGCTAATAATTGATGACATCACTTTGTAGCCTTTCTTCAGACTAAAAAATAACAATTATTAGCTACCAGTCTAAGATTTTTTTTTTCTTATATTTGCAAAAATACATCTAAGACTTTTTTTGCTGTATGTGCTACATTATAGCTTGCCATGACTCATCCAAGCCATCACTTAAACTTTGGAATGAATCCGGATCATGCCAGAAATTCCTTGTCCAACTGTGGGATTCGACAGCCAAAGTATGGAGATAGAAAAGTTCACCATATGCACATGAGAAAAAAAGGTATGCTGTTACACCACTACCATTTTTCTCTCACCTCACACTTAATCAGTAAGAAAACCTTTTGTCCATTATTATTTCATTGGCCATTGTTCTTCTGAGAGATCCCTTCAGTGGAGGATTTCAATGGTTATACACAGACACCAGTGAGACCTTTCTAAAAGACTGGATTTTGCAAATTAGTCAACAAGTAAAGAGCTGAGAAAAAGCAAGGATAATAAGTAGGAGGATGTATTTTCTTTGATTTTTGGCAAGTATTGTTTTCTTAATTTGCTGCTCAACATGGTGAGCAAACTGGAAGATATTTTGTAAAAATGTCTTACTAATTTGAAAATATGTGGTCTGTTTGCTGCAGAATATTCCTTACCCCTTAAAAGTATATTCAGCTGTAATGAAGTAAATTGTTTATTGTTTATGTAATGTTTGGAATGTCTTTTTAATGCAAAGGTGGTATTTTTATCTGGCTCTGAATGCAAAAATACAATAGTATTGTAATGGGACTGCGGTCAGTAAGACAGAGAGCATCTGTCAGGATTATACTTGCTGTAAGTAAACCCTGTAAATAACAGGATGATCTTGTGTACAGCAATTACAAAGTAACATTTTGAGTAATTATTTTGTAAGCCTGTTCAAATTGAATTAGTGGTGGTTTATTTAATAGTGCATTGTTTATATTTCTAGGGATAAACACCCTGATAAATATTATGTCCCGTTTGGGACAGGATGATCCAGCTCCTTCCAGGTAATGAAAATAATTGTTTGCGAGTAGGGAAGCTGTTGCAGAGGGAGATGTTTACTAGAAACAACCAACTTACTGTCAGCAACAGCTTTGGCAAATAGTTGAAATGAAAAGTCATTTTGAATTGGCTTTTATATTATGAAGCTGTGCTGAACCCTCCATTAGCAGTGACATAGTAAATGTTTGGTCATGCCTGCAGAAAACTCCTGAGGAAGGTTTTAACAGATAATTCTATCATTTTTGTTTATCCTTGAAATGAGGAGGGCTAAAAGGCTGCTTTTTTGCTTTCTGCAGACTAAAAAATAAGATTTGTTGTTATTGTTATCATTGCTATAAATTGGATTCTTCATCACGTTTCCTCACAGTAGCACCTTCCTGGCATGTCACCTAGTTAACATGAGTGTGATACTGAATGTGGGCTTTGCTGATTTACTGGTCCAACTTAGACATATGCAGAAACCATTAATGTTGTGATTTAATAATCCTTAAATGACCACTAAGAATTCTGTACAAATAAATAGCGTTTAAGATGTGGTTTAAAGCCACAGGCACCATATTTAGCCAAAGTAAAAAAACAAAGCTCATAGGGCTAATACAAGAAAGAGTTGCATGTGAAATCTAAATGCATGAACTAGAGGGCAGAGTGTATTTTAGTTAACTAGTGCTATAACTGGGCCTTTTAAGAGTCAACATTTTGGAGGAAGCTCAGGAATGGGAGAAGTTGAATTCTGAATAAATTATTGCTGCAGTGTTCCCCAAATGCTGTTTCAGCTAGACCATGCCCTTTTCTTTGAGAGTCAGCCTCAAGCTTATTTCAGCCCTCTTAAGATAATGTGAGATAAGGCTAAATTGCATTAATTCTCACGAAATAACACACAAATACAAAATCCCACTTCTGAGAGATTTGTGTTTTCTGCTATGTTGCCACACAGAGGAGTTGTAGTTTTGCTCACAGATTATTGTATTACACAGCAGCGGTACTTGAATTTTTTCAGCCCATAAGAAAGGCCTGCTATTTCAGAAATTAGACTAACTATGTAATTGTTGGGAGAGTGCAAATTACAGTAAAAGCTGTCAAATACTTGAGAAGGATCTTCTGGATTAAAAAAAGAAAATCCTGGGGCAATGGCCTTGATTCTGTTACAATCATGTGTAAAGTCAAAATGGTGCTACTTATATGCTTTGATATGAGAGCAGAAATTTGTACATGGAATCATAGGATCATTAAGGTTGGAAAAGACTTCTAAGATCATCGAGTTCAACCGTCAGCCCAACACCACCATGCCCACTAAACCATGTCCCTAAGCGCCTCATCTACACGTCTTTGAAATACTTCCAGGGATGGTGACTCAACCACTTCCCTGGGCAGCCTGTTCCAGTGCTTGACCGCTCTTTCAGTAAAGAAATTTTTCTTAATGTCCAATGTAAACCTCCCTTGGTGCAACTTGAGGCCATTTCCTCAAGAAATATTCAAAGACAAACTCCCATTCTTTTTCAGCTGCTGTGTTCTGTTAGTCCTTTGTTATATAAGCAGGCAGAGAGCTTGGAGGAAATGAAACTTTATGCAAAACAAAGGAAAATCAGGAGCAGTGGTAGAAGTAAAGGAAAACATAGGAAAGATAAGATTGTACTAGCTTAATGGCATCTTTGAATGCATCTTCTTGTACAGCCATTTTTTCTTTTGAGCTCAAAGGAAGTTACAGAAAACAGGACATTTAAAGGTGCTATGAAAAATTAAAGCTCCCTTGTAGCTCTGCCATACCAATGAATCTGTTGCAGGGTCATCACACCCTGCAAGTGTTGATGTTAATTACGTACACATCCCTAGTTGCAGGCACAAGACTGAAGACCAGCTGTTTGTTTCAATCACCTGGTGCCCACTGATGGACAAAGAAACCCAACCTCAGTGCCAATCAATGGTACTGTTTCCTTTCTCCATTTGTTAAGCTCTGACAATAGCTCAGAATGGAACATACGAAAATTTCAATGGTGGTGGTGTCAGTCCTGAGTTTCAAGATTTGTGTAGTTGTTATTCTGTTTTGGAAGGGATTGTAACCCAGAGACGGTGGGGGAGGCTGCAAGAATGTCTATCATGGTTGATTAGCAATCAACTGTGATTTGTTCTATTTTAATTGTATTGTGTAAATAACCAGCATGTGTTACTTAGCTGATAGTAAACCTTAAAATGCCTTTTTCAGGATTAACCACAACGAGCGTTTAGAATTTCTGGGAGATGCTGTGGTGGAGTTCTTAACAAGGTAAATGGGAAATTCTTCAACAGTCCTCATCTTTGTATGTTTTTGTCATACCATTGGGCTTATTAAGCTTTGCAGTGTCTACTTTATGACTGTGTATGTTTGCAGTCCTGCCTGATATTTAGAGCTGCACATTTGCATACAGCTCTCTTGAAAATTCCTTCAGTGCTGATAATACAACAAGGAAGATTACAAAATGAAAAGCTGGAGTTTATGTTTCATGGAGTGCAATTTTAAGTTGATTGGGGTTGGAGATTATTCAGCTACAGACGAGTTGAACTTTGTACCTTTTTTTTAAAGGAAAGATATTTTATGGGTTCTTTTTCTCTAGTTGCAAGTTAAATGCATTTATTGGTAATATTGAACGTGTTGCAGTTCTTACATTTCTAGTTATTAGGGCTGTAGCTTGCATAATGTCTGTATGTAAATAATAGTTGAGCACAAATGTAATTTGTTTAGAAGTAATAACAAAAAAACATGGTTCATCAAAAATTGTTCCAGTTTTGATCAGTTTTGAGTATTCTGAAATCAGTGAACAATACAGATATGATCAGTTACCTTCATTGGCCTCTCTTACCTGAGTGCTAGAAGCAGGCAGTTTGCACAAAATAAAGATTATAATCCATTTTCAGCTGCTTTGTTCTCCTGTTTTTAATAGGGGATTAGTCTTGTTTACTGTAAAGCTTCTCTTTAAGCAAGTTCGTTATATGAATAACAAAACTGCCCTTACATCTCCATTCTCTACTAACCTCTACTAGCCATTAGCTACTGTGTATTAAAAGCTATTAGTCTATAAAGGTCTCCACTGCCCTTAAAACCCATGGCCTTTTCTCTCATACAACAGTACAGGCTGAAAAGATGGAAGACTTGCTGATTAAAATGTCGTGCATTTTTCATTGTCATTGTTCATCAACCATCAGTTGACTTTCTGAGCTAACTTTTGTCTCTGAGCTACATTTCTCTTCAATAGAGCACATAAGCACCTATTTAAGTCTGAATTTTTTTTCTAACTCTCTTTACTTCAGGTCTCTGCTTTTGTGAATTACGATGCTTGATTAGATCGCCTCTAAGTTTAATAGTAATTTTTGTCCTTAAATAATCTTGTATCCATCTGCACTTTTCTCCCTGTGTACTGGGTTAATAAAATATTTTAATAATTAGTGCCATCCACTGCCTTATTTGTGAGATGTTGAAAACCCTCTCTGTATGAACTTCTTTCCGACATAGGTTAGGTAGTCATATATGAAGATATTCAGAATCATTTATCCGTTACTCAGATCTTGGTTGGATCACTGAATTACTTTTTTTGTTTTGTTTCTGTTTTATGAAGTATCTTACTTGCATGATGACAAATATCATTAAAAGCAGTTGAAAGCCTGTGATTTTTACTTTTTTTTTTTTTTTTAATGTCTTCACACATTTGATAAATAGAGACTGTTGAGTTCTGTTCTTTGGCTCCGTTAGCATCTGTTAAAGTACTGTAAGAAACTTGTAAAACAAATATCCTGAGTGGTGGTCCAACCTGAACCACTGGTATCATCTTAAAGCACTGCGTACCTGTGGCACGGAGTTTCTCAAGGCTGACACTTCCCTCGTGCTTTATTCCTCAGCATTCTCTAGGTGTCAACCTTGCTGAACCCACTGCTGCTGATAGATAGAAACCTTCAGCTGAGGGAAGTGCATGTCGTTGCAGAGATTTAGACATTATGTGCTGCCCAGAAGAGAAACAGCACTCTTCCCCTGCTGCCAATGCTATCCAGTCAAATATTATTGAGCATGGGTTTAATGTTTGTTTCTTTACCTTACTTCAAGCTGAGTTGCCACCTTGGTAAGGGACTTGTGTTACCAGCTAGGATCTGAGGGAAAGGCACTGTTCCCTAGAGGCACACATGGTTCATCTTTAACCAAATGTTGACAGCATCTGATTTGATTTTTGTTTTGCCAGTGTCCACTTGTACTACCTGTTTCCCACTCTGGAGGAAGGAGGATTAGCTACATACCGCACTGCCATCGTACAGAACCAACACCTGGCCATGTTGGCTAAGGTACAGTTTTATACGTCTCTGTATTTGACACCCATAGGTAGGATACTGTTAGTGCATGGATTGCTTCTTGGGGGATATGCCTGCTTTGAACATCAGTGTCTTTACCGTGTTTTCTGTACAAGATTTGGGATACAGGAACTCTTTTCAGTTTGAAAGTAGGTTTTAAATATGAAGTAGGACTTAGTGTTTTCTCCAAAGCATGTTTTTAGGAGGAGTAATTTTTGCAGGCAGAAGGATAAGTTTTTAGGATGCTTATGTTGAAGGTGAGTCTATATTTACCTTTAAATTGCACAGGTAATGAAGCTGATAGTAGAAATTTAGTGAAGAAAAAGAAACAAACTGGTTGTTTATAAAAGGACTTCCTGATAGAATGTATAGGGAGAACATGGCAGCAGGTGGTAGAGAAAGTGGTGAAAAAAATCATTTTGTCTGCTCCCTAACCTATGCAGTCATTTTCAGATTTGCTGTGAACTGTGGAAGAGAAATATATTAGAAAGGCTTTTGGTGAGAAGTTGTATTACCTCATGGGAAAAATTGAAATGCCTCTGAATTTTATTTAATTTAATTCTGTGAATGACAGAGCTTTTTACATTTGCACATGATACTGGGGGGCGGGAGTATGATATAGAAAGTTGATTAAGACTCTATTTGTAGATAATTTTGTATTCCCTTAGTCATATTTGATTTTGTTAGCATGTTTTTTAAAAAACAGTCTCAGACTTATTGATGTAAGCTGTGCACACATGTCCACTGTGTATTGCTGATAGGTTTTAAGTGTTCACATTCACGCAGTAATTTAAACAAGCATATCCAATCTTGAGATTTTGGCAAAAACTGCATGATTTCTAACGTCATCTTTTTGCTCAGTTCTCAGGAGAAGCATAGGGTAGGGAGTGAACTTTAATGATTTAGATAAGCATGAATTGATTGAAATGTTTCAAATCAGGGGTTTGTTTACAAATATGATGTTGAATTGCCTGAGATTTGAATTCATGTTGTTATTTTAAAACCTGCATCAGGAAAGCGCATATATTCTTAAAGCTCTGTTCACAGCCTTTATCATTGTACATGGACAACTTTTGAATATTTTTATCGCAAAATTTTTTAAACTGTATTTATTTTTATTAGATACAACTGTAAATATTAGATATCTATACATTCCTGATTTCCCAACTTACCCTTTTTTTCTCTTGCATATCCTATATGACCTTCCTGGTTTCATTCCCTTTAATTATCCCCTGCAGTGTCATGTTGCCTTCAGTTTACTTCCACAATATAATTCTCAGCTCCTCAACTTCTCTTGTGCATGTGGAATGCTGTTTTAATTGAGGATCAAATGATAAATTTCTGTAGCTTCTAAGTGACATTGTAGCAGGAATTCTAAAAATAATCTGAAACGTGTTATGATCAAAATTGAGAAGCAAAACACATGCAGAGTATGCTGAATGCAAGCTCCAAAAATGGAGATAAGCCATTGGAGGGAGGGGACACACACCAACACCCAAACACCACCAGTTAACATGAAGAAATGACAATAATCTGTAAGAAGCTTAAATTTGATATAAAACAATTAATGTTCCAATGCTCCCTGCACTTTATAAGGTGCAATGGAACATCGTAAGTGGCAATTCCCTGGGTTCTGGAGCAATGAATAGGCTCTCATTCATTGAAAATGTAAGACTCCTTTTTTTCCAATTGAAATGTGTCTAAAACACGCACTTCAGGCAACGTAGTCTCCACTTTTACATCTTAAATATACTCTAGGAGGGTGAAGTTGAAAGTTAATGAGAAATTAGTCAGTAGAAACTCACAACCAGTTGGGAAGAACCTATTCTCATACAGACTTTGCAAGATGCACAAATCTCTTCTTTAAAAATCTCAATAATGGTTTTGTGTCAGAAAGATGAATATGTAAAGAGAACCTAGTAGCTCTTGCCTGCATTGCTGTAGCAGAATTATCTTATCTTATATAAGATATCTAACTCACTACCTGAGATTCTGACTGGCTAGGAGAACTATGGTTTAGGCAACAAATGAATCTTAATGATACACATTGAAATGAAAAAGAAAGCTAGGTGGCACTGTAGATTAAAAATCGGTCTTCTGCTTGCAGCGCCCAGAGGCTTTTGTTACTGCCACCTGTTGACATTTAAAGAAAAAAAAAACAGATGTTCACTGGATTGTGTCTACCAGAGTTCCTGTTCCTCACTGTTGTACTTTATCTTCTTCTTGTAGGCAAAATCTTTTTCCTCAGTGTTAACTCCTCAACCTTTGAATGTCCCTTTGGCATTTCTGAAGGCAAATCACGTGAGGGCAAACTCCTAGCAAGAAATGCAGCACGTTGTACCATCCAGCTGATATCAGGCTGTTTTTCTGTCACACCCTCAGCCCTCCTCTTGAACTCATTCCTAAATCTCACTAGTAACATGTTTTGATCTAGCTTCCCTTGACAATTTGGTTTGATAATTCCTAGCTTTCCCACGCTATCACGCTCTAGTTGGTTGCCTCTGATAAACAAATATGAAGTCTTCCAATTTTAGCTTATGTCTGAACTGAAACTATGGAGAAAAGCTTTAAAGTTCTCTCAAACCAAGTTGCTGCATAATAATAGTGTAATTAAACTCTAGTGATGAGAACTGTACTCTAAAGCCACAGTTTTAACTCTTTCCACATATTCTGCAGAAGCTGGAACTAGATCGATTTATGCTTTATGCTCATGGTCCAGACCTTTGCAGGGAATCGGATCTCCGCCATGCCATGGCCAACTGCTTTGAAGCCCTAATAGGTAAAGCATGTGTATTTGTATGTGCAGACTGTTATGTTTTAATATGCCTACATGCCATATTGACTGTGATGGAGGACATGTGGGCCTGTGTTGAGTAGTGTTAGTAAGGGTAGGTGATAGTAAAGTGTCTTAAATCTTCTTCCTCTCTTCCCATCTTCTGCACATATGCTGCATATATAACATGATGAGTGTGCAATATTACAATGAAAATGTCATCTTCCGTATCCTGCCTCCCACGCACTGTAGATGCACCCGTTTCATACCGTTGTGGCGCAGCACTTCTGTCTGTCACTGCAGAACTCCACCTCTCATATGCCACCATGGCCTGCCACCTGCAGTCATCTGGGGGGAGTGGTTCAGTCACCATGGCCTGGCAGGAAAAGTCCAGGTTCACTGCTTCCAATAGTACTTGCGCAGACCTGCAGAATGTAGAGTCGCACTTCAGCCCTGAATTTTAAACTCTGCAGCTTGCTTTCTGAGTGCACCAGGCACTCCCAACCAAGTCACCAGCCCTGGGGGTGAAGGTTTCCTCTGTGCTCTGCTAACCTTCTTGGGTGAATTAAACGTGACATTTGCCACGTAAATATTTTTTGGTCTTTGCATTTTCCTTACAAATAAAAAGCATGGCAATATTCTACCAAAACCTTCTAGCTGAGGATGAAGGGGAGTTGTGTCAAATATCCTGTTGGGCACTAAGATGCTGATTAGTGACTGGCTACGGTAGTCGATAAATTTATGTTGGAGAAGAATTCAGGACTGCCTGACCACAGTTACCAAATAAGCAAGCAGTAAGGCAGAAATCTGATCTGTTATATCCACACAAGCTCTATTTTAAATAGCATATTTTTATAAAGCTTTACTTGTTTGAGTACACAAAGCAAGCCAAGTCTCACTGGTTTGGCTTCATATTCATCCAAATGTACTGTACATGATATTAGCTATGGGAACCATTTAGCCCTGATCCAGGTCTTTACATACACGCAAGCTCCTAAAGCATTTTGTTCTGCTTTGCAAAATAAATCATGGTTGGCTTGGATGTCAACAGTTCTGTGCATTCTGCCTTGGGCCAAATTGCATTTCGTCTTATCAAGAAATAAGAGTTTTCTTTTTAACTCTATTTTGCTTTCCATGAGTGCTTTGATCTTTAATTTAAAAAATAAAAAACAAACAGAAAAGGAACACTAGATATGTATCTGTGGCTTTGTTCATATACTTCAGCTTGTCTAGGATGTAATGATGAGCACTGTTTGGCAAGCATTGAGATTTGCTAAGAGAACTGGCTTGCTGTTTAACCTCCAATACAAAGTTGTTCACAAAGTTAATTGAGCAATAAGATTTTGTCAGGGCCATAGCTAAAATCTGGGAGCTTGTTAAGGGACTACAAAAGTGTATGTGGGGTCTGGAGCTCCTGCTTGGGAACCTTTGTAAAAGTCTGGTGCTTCTTCCCTGTGATGAAAATAATAACCAAAAGTATAAGCAGGCTGCTTAGGACCTGGTTGAAATTCTGTGCTCTCATAATATGCCCCTGGCAAGATAGTCTTATAAACCCCCAAACTGTTCTCCAAAGAGTCCAAAGAAAGTAGTTGACCTAGTGAGGAATTAAAAGGGAAGAGAGGGGAAAGACACAGCAAGGCAAATCACGTTCTCCCTGTATGTGGGTACATCAACTCCCTTTCTCTGTGTTCTTCATGTAGCTGTGTGTTCCCTTTGCTTTTATACAGATGTGCTTACAAGAACGAGTTTGAGCTTTTCAGAAGCACTCCTGTAAATAGTATCAAAGGACAAAATGTTGATACTGAATTTATAAAGTGCCCGTGCAGATACAGAGTGTATATAGTACACACAAAAAATATAATATGCTAGCACAAGTTTTGCAGAGCTTGTTACTAATGGGCATGTGGAGGACTAGTGAGGGCTGTATGTGCAGTTTATAAAAAAAAAAAAAGAAGTGGCATAATCTCCAGAAATTGAGAGATGCAGAGGCGCAGTTTCCAGTTCAGACAACGTATTATTGTGATATTGGGGAGACATTGAGGTTTGGAATAGTCATGATACATCATTTATATTGCAGAATGTAATGTTGTTGAAAGTACAGAATAAATAAAAATTATTTGCTAGCTATTGAAATGTATTTCACAGCTTTCACTATCTATGTATATGGTATAGTTAGCTGATTACTGGAAGCTACTTTTAGAAATAAATTGCTTCTAGCCTAATTTGTTTAAGCTTTGCTCTTGGGATGTATAATTTTCTATCACTGATGTAACTATTTCAGGTTTTTCTGTGCATTTTATGACCATTGATTTATGTTGGTATTTAACATGCTTTGAATTTCTCAAAAAATTAGGTATTACTACAGAATGCATGCTTTTAAAAAATAAATGTAATGGAGATGAAGAAGGCAGAGATCTTTGACTTTCCTGTGGTTAGTAATTTTCTAAGTACTAATGCGTTATTGGCCTTTGACGTATTGGTCCCCTCGTGTAGGAGCTGTTTATCTAGAGGGGAGCCTAGAAGAAGCAAAACAATTATTTGGGCGTTTACTCTTCAATGACAAGGTATGTATGTATTTATATGGTTTGATTTCCATTTTAAAAATAACTGAAGACATGCTTTCTTGTCCATTGTTTTACTTGAGAATCACAAATGAACAGGAACACAGCTGTTGTACTTAGTTCCTGGAAACTGAATGTAGCATAGCGTGTTTAGGACAGCAAGCTGCACTGCTTCAGGCAAAAAAATTACGGTGTTTCCTCAGGTGTGCTCTTTGTTGGTTGGCTTAGGGAAGGGTGGGTGATGTGGGAAACAGGCAGACTTCCATTCAAAATGCTGCTCTAACAACAGAGATGGGTGCTGTGGATCCAGGCAGCGTGCTTTGGGGAAATGATGCACATGTGGAGGGACTATTCCTGTTTCATCGGTTAAATCCTCCCACCCCTAAAAGTTTTAAACATATCTTTGAAAAAAATGCAGGGGATTTCATCCAACATTTACCCAATTGCATAATAAAAGTCTGATCTATTCTTGCATACTGTGTCTTAGAACACTGTTAGTTGGAATTTATCCCATATAATGGCTAAGGAAAGTAACCAGTATATACTGCTGGGACAATACATGTAGCAATGGTGAGGGGATGAATTATACAGTCTTTTCCTTCTTGAAAGTCTCTGAGTCTGTGAAATGACAAAGCTTGTTAGAAATAAAGGTATTTTGAAGCCTATTGTAACTCAGTGTTTATTTGCTGCTCAGTGCCTGTAGTGAAGGAAGCCTGTATGAAATAGAAGAAAATAAATGTTTTTTTTTTTTTTCCTTTTTTAGTCCTTGCCTTTGGTGAAGTTAAACTTGCTACTGAGGAGTACTTGCAAATAAAGTTAGTCCTGAGGCTTAAACAAATCTTTTTTTTTTCTTTAACCACTTTTTATTTGGTTCAAGGATTTTTCCACCTCTTTGACACAAGCTAATTGGGAGAACTACAGGGCAGTTTGAACAGCAAATACATGATTTTAAAAATTAGTTTGCCAGCACTATTGAATTTGCAATAAGCAGAGCCAGCATCTGAAATAGTTCAGTATTTCAAGTAATGACATTTTATTTAGTACTGTGGAATTTGTTAAATGACTCCCTTGAGCATTAAAGGCATCTCTCAATGTTTGCAGGACCTGCGGGATGTATGGCTTAATTATCCACTACACCCACTCCAAGTAAGTGTATCCCTTTCTGTAATAAATTTCATAGCTCTGTTTTATTTTCAGGGATGCTTTTCCATAGGTTTCCATTGTAATGACATCTCAGAAATTGTGCTAAAAAGTAGCCAAAGGAGTGTATATATTTGCCTTTGTGTTTGGTTTTGGGGTTTTTTTTGGTTTTGTTTTTTTTTTTTAATAAATAATGAGTGTCTGCCTCTCTGAGGATTAATCATTCACCTTTCCTTGGCTCATGTTTGATATATAACTGTGTTTCTCATACAGTAAATCCAGTGAGAGGTAAGATTTTGGCGGCTTCTTGTTCATCTTCTTGAAGTTGGAGGAAAAAGGGTACAGAAACAATCTAGGTACATATTTTGTTAACCTGAAATTAAGACTGAAACCTTAATAGTAGGAAGGCACATAGTTGAATGGAATAAGAGTGCAATTCTGAATTTTTTCTTTGTGTATGTGCACGCTCAATGATAGCATGGTTGTTTCAGTGATTCCAGTAGCTTTAATACCATGTAAACACTGAAATTCTGAAGGTGTCTGAAGGCTAATTTATCCTCCATGTATTGGAGGATACAAGTTCACAAGTTGTTAGTTTATAAGGCTGGAAGTTGGGAGAACGGTTTCCCAGTCCTTGTTTCCTGACTGAATTCTGGGGGAGACCTAGAGCAAATCACAGAGCCTCTCTGCACTGTAGCTCCTTGTATTCACAGCAAACATGGTAGCATTTTCCAAGTGTGCAGGGGTGCTGCAAGAATAGCTGTATTCAAATTGTCATCCTATCAGTTAGTAAGGTGTTCAGGATCATACAAACATCTGAGAGGTTTCTTTTGTCCAACCAAACCTCTGATGTTTTGTACAGTCAGTTTGACTTCTTTGAAACTTTTTATGAGCGCACCCTTCCAGCAGAAGGTCACTTTGAGGCCTCCATCTGAAATGTCTCATATATTTGTATGGATTTTGCAATGGGTACATAGACAAAATCTTCAGCAACAAATCAGTGCACATGAAGTGTTTTTTACGACCAACTCTCTGTGAGTGTAAATAGAAGAGAGTCTTTAATGGGAAGATAAACTTTTGAGATTCAGCACCAGCTATCCTGCATGGTGGCACAAGCTCCCAAGAAAATTCTTCTTACTCTAGATTTCTTTCTTTTCTCTTACTTTGTTTTATTTTAACCTCTTTATCTCTGCTTTCACAAAGAAGATTTGGACTCTGCTTAGAGATTGGAGACAATCAGTATATGCAGTTTATCATTTCTTGCTACTGCCTTAACTTGTGTGATGAAAATTTATTTTCTTCCATGTCCCAGAAGCCATCCTAGCTCTCTGCTTACCAGTAGGGGAAACACAGGCTGCTCAGCTTGGCCTTTGGGCACAGCTAGCCTGAAAATGGCATTTTAAAAATTATTAAAAGTCACCGTAACAGTATGGCAAACGAAATGCCAATTAAAAAAAAAAAAAAAGCTCTGTGTAAGATATACAGAACTGAAGGCCTGTAACCCTGTTATTTGGCAGTAGTCAAGTCAGTAGAATTAGTGATGAAAAAAATAATTAGTGGTCACTGGATAAATGTGGTCTCTTTAGAAAGAGTCAACTTGTAAAGACAAGTCCTGCCTCACAAATGAACAGGAGATTTTAGAGGAGACAAAAAAATCATGTGATGATGCAGATGATACTGTCTGCTGGGCTTCCTAAGAGGCTGTTGGAAAGGCACTCACGAAAGGCTTTTAGAAATGTGTTTAAAAAAAAAAAAAAGGGAAAAAAAAAGCAACTCCAGTGAATACTGTCAGTCCTTACAAGATTTAAAGGAATGGCTGAAACATAAGAAATGGAGAACAGGAGTGGAATGACCACATCTTACAAGGGATGGAGATCACTGGCAGATTTCCCTAGGGATCTTTGCTGAAGTACAGGCTGTTTGCATCGACAGCTTAGGGAAGAGGATGAGCAGTGAGGTGGCGCTTTGTTGACAATACCAAATTATTCAGGGTAGCAGGGACAACAGCAGGGTGAAGAATTGCAGTCTGATTGCAAGAATGCAAGAGTGACTAACTGTGGAGTAGAAAAGCAGACGAAATTCTGTGTAGGTAAATATAAAGAACTGTGCATGAGGAAGCAAAAAGCAGTCTCAGCTCCACATGCAACTGAACTCCAGACTGACCGTTATCACGCAAATGTAGGATTTTGGTGCCGGGATATGTAGTTCTATGAAAATGTCAGCTGAAAGCTCCGTAATGTTTAAGGAAAAAGTCAAACTGAATGTAATCAATTAATAGAAAAGGGACAGGCAACAAACAAAAAAAGATCTTAATGCCACTTTAAAAAACTGTGGCTAATCTTACTTTTCCTTTAGGCATTCTCATCTGGATGATTCCTCCTCTGAGGCATTGCTATACAAGAGAGATGCCCAGAGTGGCCAGAGCAAATGCCTAAGCCATTTCCAAGCTCCAGAAAGCCATTTAACAGTGTCACCACATCAAGAACATCAGACAAGAAACTGATAAGAAAAGATACTGACCCAAAGTGATAATTTTAATTTTCTTGTGTTATTGTGCCCTTTTGAATTTCATATACTAGGTATTTATTCTTGATTTTTGATAGTGAAGGAAAGTGGGAGAAGTAGATTTGGTTTTTGTCTCATCTTGACATGCTGTCAGTCTGCCAGCCCTATTCTAATAATTTTTGAATCTATTGCAAACAATGTGATAATATTAGAAAACTCAGACAGGTACAATTTTACATGTTTTGTGAAAATAAGTAGCCCGTGCTATCCACATGTAGAGACAAGATCATATAAGCAATGTGTTATAAATGCCTCAACTGTTAAAAAAGCATACATCAGAGCTCACATCTTCTTTGAGTGGTAATTATCCAAGACAAAAAGCCACAGGAAACTGGGTTTTCTCAGTTCAGCTGTCCATAGAATGACTTGTTCGCTGTATTCTTTACCCTTGGTTTACAGAAGGCTTGCTTTTCTCTGAAAAGTTCTAAAACAGTGTTAGTTTGTCATTGTTTGCACGTCATTTTATTTACAGCTGCAGGAGTCCAATACTGACAGGCAACTCATCGAGACCTCTCCAGTTCTTCAGAAGCTTACAGAGTTTGAGGACGCGATTGGAGTCATCTTTACTCATGTTCGGCTTCTAGCGCGTGCATTCACTCTGAGGACAGTAGGCTTTAACCATTTGACTCTGTGAGTACACAGCAAGCGTCCTCATGTAGCTTTGTTGGTCCTTCTGTTAGTATCCCAGATCGCTTTATTTGTAGACAAACTCCAGATGTTATATCTGTTCTCCAGAAGAGAATAGAGCAGCTATGTTCTCAAGTCCGCCTGGCTCAGTATCCCATCTCTGACAGTCAGTAGTGGATACCCTGGGAAAGATTGCAGAAGATGTTAGCCATCCTGGTGTTTCTTCTGAGCTTCCCACATCATTGATATTTGCACATCACTCCTGAGACAGTAGCAAAACATACTTGGAGGTACATTTGGGCAGAGGAAAGAAGTGAAATCATGCTCTTTGGTCCAAGTGCAGCCCTTGTGTTCTGTAGTGTGTAGAGCTGCCAGGCCCTGTTTTAAAGCAAACGGTAGAGCCATACCAGTGGTTACCCAGTCCAGGATCTCACATGGGTTTAAACCCTGAGCCTTTTATTTCTTGTGAGTGGACAGACCTTTTTCTCTATTGAAGTCATTGCATTCATTAGTTCACTTTCTTGTAAGAAGTTGCAGGTAGAGACCTTATACCATTACAGACTTGATGTCAACTGCTCTTCTCCTTCAATTAGTCCCAGATCTGTGATCTAATAATTGTATTTATATGTAGCTACCCTGATTTGCTTTCTTCCTGAAAGTTGGTGTTACAAGAGTAATGAACTGTGTTTTCATCTCACCTGGTTAACACTGGAAAATTGTCTTAAATGCATTTGGAAATGAGCGAGACTCACTTTCAGATCACTCTTTATTTTAATTTGTGTGTGCATGCTGGTTTTGTTTTTGCCTCCCTGAGTGCTTATTGATTTTGCTGCATTGATGTCTCATTTTTCAGAGGCCACAACCAGAGGATGGAATTCCTGGGTGACTCCATAATGCAGCTGGTAGCCACAGAGTATTTATTCATACATTTCCCCGATCATCATGAAGGGCACTTAACGGTGAGACTGCCATCAATCATGCTCTCCGGAAGAGCAAGAATGGGATGGAGACTGAAATTATGGGAGCAGCTAGTGAATTATTCTGGATTTGATTAATAAAAGAAGCAACCACTGCTCTTAATAAGGCTTTGTTAATTTTAAGTCATGAGCACTGCAATGAATAGGAAATGGTGATTTATGAGCCCAGTGCAATAATTTTTGTTCTGTCTGTGAAATGGATCAATAATTTTAAGGATGTCAGTGATAAAATCAGGAAATAAGACTAGTTCTTGTTTAAAGATGGGTGTCTTAAACCATTTATTTAAATAGGCACATCACGTGCCTTTTTTTTATTCATGACTTCTAGACTGTTGAACCTGCAACCAGGCAGGGTTATGTTTCCTGATAAGAAGTTTTTACAATCTATTTTAGTCTGGTTTTCCTGATGTCTTCAATCCAGAGCTCCTGTGGCAGTTTTTGAATTTAATTTTACTGTTGTTATAGTCACGTGTTGTTGATTACTGTAGCCTTTCAGCCTCTCTTATCTGGGCTCTGAACAACCCAGTTTGGGGATCTTTCAGCAATTTACAGTACTTTAAACATAGGGTGGTGGTATCTGTAGTGTTTTTTTCTGACTGATTCATTTAGTACTGCAGCTAGACATTTGTGGCTTTATTTGTGAGGAAGAAATTTTCTTAGTCTTACTAAATTTTTCTTAGTTTTCAAGTCTTGACTAGAATAAAAAAGCAATACATGTATCAGGAATATAAGTCAAGTCGTGTATTTAAAATTAGGAAGTAGCACTGTATGTTTCTTAGCTACTCAGAGTGGTTTTCTCAAATCAATAAAGGGATGGCGATCCTAGTCTCTAGCAGGCAATGTGTTTTCAAGAATATGCTTCTTGGGTCTTTTGGGCTAAAGCTCTTTACAAGAAAAAAGGTACATGCTCTGACTAAAAGTAATTTTAATTTTTCTTCACCGGTTCTTAAGTTTCGTTTACATTTGTATGGATTCTTCTGCACCATTCAGGAGACAGAGTAGATAAAGCCTGAACTTTTGAAGTAAAAGTTAAAAGAGGAAGAGCCTTGTCATATTAATTCTTCAGAGAAACAAAAACATAAGGCAGAAATCCAAGATTGGTGGGGATTTTTTGCTTTGTGGGTGACTTTTAAGAATGTAGGCATCAGTGTTGTTATAGTAAGATAAATCTTTCAAGAACTATTTGGCAGGAAGGATATGAAGTGTTGCTATTAATGGGTGTAAATACTCAGAACAATGATCAGAACGTCTATGTGTTGCTTAATTTAATGATTAGTCAGTTGGCAAGTAGAACAAGTTGCACAATCCAAGTTTGTAGAGGAAACTACAGAGTGGAATGGATACTGAAAACACATTAAGATATGGAGAAGCAGGCAATGCCTAGAATAAAATTTCAATTCTGGGGGTGCACATGCAGTGAAAAAGAAAATTGTCTTGAATGTTTTTAAATGTGAGGACAAATGAAATGAGATGTGTGAGGAAGGAGACTGATGATGTGGGATCTGAAGAGAAACAGCAAACACTGAGCTCTTTCTCCTGTTATCTGGGAACATACTTACATTCAAAGTAATAACGGAACATCAGCTGAATGGTGTCTGTAGTGTTGAGGACAATTTTGTTGAAGGATGGGAAGATTCCACTTGACTGGCAATGCAGTGGCTTCTCAGTGTATAGTGATTACTTGTGGAGAGACGTCTGTAAATTAACTGTATTTAAGAAAAAGAAAGGAGAACATAGTCTTGTCTACATATTTTGAAATAGCCAAGTGATCTGCGAAAAAAGAGGATGCAGTTTTGTGGGCTGTTGGAAGATACAGCTTCTCCAGTACTGGCTTGTGCTACAGTCGTACTGTATGCTGTGTGAAGATGGAAGAATAAAAAAAAATGGCTTTGTAATTAAAGTTAAGCTCCAGTTGAGCATCTGTCACATGTTACAGCATCTGCAATGATGCAGGCTGTGTGTTGCCAGAGTGGAGACTAGCTCTAAAAAAGTTGCTGGGAAGGCTGTGCACAGGTACTGTGTCTTCCCCGTATCGTTAAGGGGATTTGAGTTGCTTGCTAGATCACACTTGTAGAGAAAGCAAATTCTAATACGGAGCAAGTTGATAACCACAGCGCTAGAAGGATTTTTTCCATCTCTAATTCACTGTGTAGCGTCTATGTTGCTCTTTGTTTTAAGATACTACTAATCATGATTACGGGTCCCATCAAAATAGAAACTCTGCAAACACAGCAAAAGAGATCCTTCTCTCATTACAAGAAACAGATTTTTATCACATGATACTGCAATTCTGTCTCGTAGGTTGCATATCCTGCTTAGGATTTTGTTGGGGAAAGTATTGTTTATTTATCTTAAGGACATGAAAGGAAAGAATTTTGGAAAGGAACAAGTAGAAGATGAGTTTAAGCAGAGGTTAGGGAGGCAGGTAATAATCCTATCTGGAGTCTGCCTAGTTTATGAAGATCAGGTTGTGAGTATCTGCTTCATACATCATTGCCAAACAAATTATGAACATACTGTTCTTTATTTATCTGTTGTCAGAGATGAAGTATCAAGTGCAGCAAATAAATCTTGATTTTCATAAGCTCAGTTGACATGCTGGAGCCAGGTAGCATATAACTTGGATCTAATAAGCTGAGCAAATGTGACATGGAAGACGAAGAGAGAAAAAATGTGCACGCAGCTTCTCAACTCTAGATTACATATAAACAGTGGAAAAGAGGGACATTCTTTCCCTCCCACCCCCACCTCCCATAATATCCCTAACTTCTTAAATTAGTGCTGTTTCATTTAAAGCAGAAAAGCAAACAGACAGGAGAAAAGCTCACCTTAGCCAGGTGTTCTGGTTTCGGCTGGGCTAGAGTTAGTTTTCTTCCTAGTAGCCGGTGTAGTGCTGTGTTTTGGATTTAGTATGAGAATAATGTTGATAACACACTGATGTTTTAGTTGTTGCTAAGTAGTGCTTACACTACGTCAAGGACTTTTCGGTTTCTCATGCTCTACTGATGGAGAAGGCTGGAGATGCACAAGAAGCTGGGAGGGGGCACAGCCAGTACAGCTGACCCAAACTGGCCAAGGGGATATTCCATACCATATGACGTCATGCTCAGCATATAAACTGGGGGGAATTGGGCAGGGGGCAGCGATTGCTGCTTGGGAACGGGCTGGGCATCAGTCGGTGGGTGGTGAGCAATTGCATTGTGCATCACTTCTTTCGTATATTTTTATCATTATTATTATTTTCTCTTCCTTTGCTGTCCTATTGAACTGCCTGTATCTCAACCCAGGGGTTTTACTTTTTTTTTCCAGATTCTCTCCCCCATCCCACCGGGGGTGCAAGGGAGGGTGAGCAGGCAGCTGTGTGCTAGTTAGTTGCCGACTGGAGTTAAACCACGATGCCAGGGGTTCAGAAAATTGTATGAAAACCTAAAATTCCAAAATAACTCCTTTAAGCTGTTGTGAGGTATCTTTGACACAGCTTTATGTTTATTTAAGCAATCTGCCTAGAGCCTGGGTTAAACACTTCAGGGAACTCTGCTGGAGAACCAGATGTCCTGGACATTGTCATACATTGAAAATGTTAAAGACGGATCTTTGTCAGGCATGCATCGGCTCAGCTATGCTGCCTTCAGTAGAGCAAAGAGTACATACAGGCTGTCCGGCTATGTATTTTCTTCTCTGGCCAAATGAATGGAGCAGCTTCCTCATCTGCTTGTTTTGAAACACTAGACTGTCTTGCTTTAATGTGCATTTGTTTTAATTACTGCCTATTTATTTCTTACTTAGTGGACACTGGGGACTGCTCTATAGACTCCAGAATATTGTATGTTTATACTTTATGTGGAAAAATGTATGTAACTGTGTATTACTTAAACTAGAAAAATGCAGATTAGCTGAAAAAGTATAGGACTGGTGAAGAGATGGTATATGATTGCAAAGAAGCTCACAAACAATCATTTTAAATGCAAGATATGTCTACAGAAGTATTGTGTCCATAGAATAAATAAAATTTAGTGGGAAGAATTGAAACAGAAGGAAAAAGCAGCAGTAGAAAGAATGAGTGTGTGTGTGTTTATGTAAATCATTTGAGGTGTGCTGAAACAAAATGTCAGTAAACTGAGAGAAGTGAGAGGCTACAAGGATAAAAGTAACTTTTTTTCCCCAGTTCTCCCTACCTTTTGTAGTTCGGCATTGCTAATTGTTACTGTTGAGTGGAACTTCTTTCTATTGCAGCTGTTGAGAAGTTCTTTGGTGAACAACAGGACACAGGCCAAGGTGGCAGAAGAGCTGGGTATGCAAGAATTTGCCATCACTAATGACAAAACAAAAAGACCTGTAGCTCTTCGAACTAAGACTTTGGCTGATCTCTTGGAATGTGAGTTAATTTGGTTATAACAGCTTAGTACTTATGTAACTTCTTTTTACTCGGGGCTTGTTTAAGAAAGCCATTAGAAATCCCCCAAATCACTATTAAAAATGTATATTCAGGTTTTCGAGTGAATTATGCCTATAACTCTGAAAGACAGATTTTTGAACACTAGCTTACATTTTTGAAGTCTGTATGAAAGCATGAAGGAGGCGTAATTGCAGACACAAAATTGTAGGCTTAGAAATTGAGGGGTCATGGTGGCCAGGTCAAAAGCATGTCTAGAAAGTTAAAGCTTGTATTCCGAGTTGAGCTATTTAACAGCAGTTTCAATATTTCATTAATATGTTCTTGTCACTGCTGGAAGATAAAGTAGTTCCTTCAGCAGGTGAATGTTTCTGTGGTTCATTTGACTGTATTTTAGGAGGTTTCAAAATGGTCATTCCACAAGAGGGAAAGCTACATTGAAATGAAATTCTTTTTAGTCCACTTATGAAAGTTTGTGCTACCTTCTTTCCAAAGAAAGTGAGAACAGTGATAAATATTCTGCAAAGAAAGTTAATCTGTGTCATGTATATTTTGATGTATTTTGTGAGTCATTCAGACCCCTTGGCTTTTGCCAAATCCTCTTAGCAAATGGAAATTGCACACAAACGGGAGCGATTTGTATCTAAAACATTTTTATGGTAGCCAGTAGTGATTTATTTGTAAGTATCTATAGCCTCCTGGTTAAAATGTGAGATTAGGAACTGAGTATTGTTTCTAGCTCTTTAAATGACTGAGTGGATTTGGGTAAGTCACTTAATCTCTTGGTCAACTTTATTTTTTCCTATGTGTGCAGGATAATAATACCTTCATCAGATCACTGCTGTGAAACATAATTGAATATGGCTTTAGAGAACTCAGAGATACTTGTTTCTAAAAGTGCAAGCCATTAACGTTCTCCTTGGATGAGTGACAGTACCTTTTTTTTCCCCCCCCAGCCTTTATTGCTGCCCTGTACATTGATAAAGATTTGGAATACGTTCACACTTTCATGAACGTATGCTTTTTTCCACGGCTAAAGGTAAGACTAGTCAGGTTTCCACTTTCCTGCCACTATGTTTTAACACATTATTGTGTTTTGGACTCTTACCACAATCTCTCAATCATAAAAGCATCTTTGTGATCTTCTTACAGGAGTTTATTTTAAATCAAGACTGGAATGATCCTAAATCTCAGCTTCAACAGTGCTGCTTGACTCTCAGGACAGAAGGAAAAGAGCCAGACATTCCTCTTTACAAGTAAGAACTGGCATCTTATCGATACAAGCTAGTTACTAGCCTTTCTTGTATATGGAGGAAGATGTGATCAGTCACCCTACGTTTTTCCCATAGTTTGGTTTTATTGTAGTTATCCAAGCCCTCCAGTCTCTCTTTGTCTGAAGATGGAAAATGTTGAACCAACGTTTTCCAAGCTTTAGGTGTTTTAAGCTATTACAAGGAAGAATTAGTAAGCATTTTACCTTGTACAGTTTCAAGGGAAAAATATATTTTTTATGTTTCAATGGAGTATTTCATTGGCATCATTCTATATTTGTTCTTCTTTTAACATAAGGAATGGCAGTATTTTAAATGAAATGAATGGAACAATGGCTGTTTGGATGTGAAGTCAAGATACCTCCATTCTAGTTTCAGTCATAGTATGAAGTTTCTCTACGCTCTACATTATTATGCAAATATAATAAATGCTTTGTGTTACACATCCTGATTGTAGGCTCTGTTTCTAATCCACAGAGTCAGGCACTGAAGGGCTACACGAGTTTTGGACATTTTTGCTGTGCAGTTCAGCCCATGTATGTCGTCCTGTTTAGTGATAGAAGAGATCAGGGTAGTGAACCTCTTCACTTGTACACCTCAGTTAGATATCTGAAGTTGGATGGGATGGATCTCCCTTCTCTCTTTCAGTTGCAAAATAGCATAATAGCTGCTTCAAAGAGGCAATAATAAACTTAAGATTGTATATTGCATCCATATCCATTCAATTAATGTAGGGAGGGGTGCAATGTTAGCCCCCAAAAGAAGAGATAAAGGCTATGAAAGTTCAAGGCTTGTGTTGTTGGGATTATTATATCAAAAAGGTATGAAGAATGAAAGTCTAAGTGCATTTGTCACATTTACTGAAGTAAAGTTTTCAATGAAATGTAGCAGTTCAGTTATAGTGACAAACAGTGCACTTCAGAAATATGATCGCTTTAACACTGCAACTGATGCTCTGCAAATCTGACTCCTCAGTGTCTCAGTATGAGGGCTCACAGCTTTGTCTTGAGTGAGGGAGATGAATACAAAAGAAACAATTCCTGATTCTTGTAAAACCCACTGAGTATCAAGTACCAAATGTTTGTTTTGTTTTGCTGTGATGATAAATTGATTTTTATAGTACAGCTTAGAGCTAGTAATATGCTGTTATCTTCCTATTATCTTGTTAAATTCCTTTTCTTGGTGTTATCTGTTTCACTGCAGTCAGTACTATTACTTTTAAATTTGGGGTGGGTTTTATTTGCTCTTGTCACAGCACACAGAAGCAGAGTACTATAGTTAGATACTTTAAAAATTGATGTGAAATTGGTGCTCCTTCCAAATAAAACAAGGTAGTGGACAGAACTTGAGCTGACAGTGGGGAGAGATTTGGGACAGCAGGAAGAAACAGCAGAAGCAATGCATTGCGTATCTAGGGAATTATCTTTTTTCCCCTTTAGATGGTTGTTGATGCATGTCCTAGACTTTAGCTCAAATTGAAAGTTTGTTTTGTGACAAACTGTAACTTTTCAAAGCTGATGGAAAATTTCTTTGTACTGTGATAATTCAGTATGTAGAGAGCTACCATGTTCAATATAAAGTCCTTTTAAAACCTTGCTAACTGCACAACTCTCAGGGACTAAAATTTTAGTGTACACAATAATCATATTGGTGTAACTATCTGCAATCGCACAGCTACACACAATTTATATGACTTGTATTACAACTGTTTTCACAGTGTTTAAGCACTTCATGTTATAGTTTCCATTTTTGCTTATAGGTTAAAGTTTTAATTTTCATATGGTGCTCCTGAGTGAACCTGGAGGAAAAAATATAACCAATATTATCAAGGTGCATTTTATGTAAATTTCTCCTTTTTATTGCACACCGTACTGGTAATCTCTGGGTTAATGTGATTTATACAGGCATCTTTCAACTCTTGCTCCATGCTTTCCACTAATTCCACTATACGTATTGACCAGACTGAGAGCTTGGTGATGTATGTGCCACAAACAAATTCTGGTTTTTAATACTTCCTGCTTGAATAAATCGTATCTTTCTTATTTCAGGACTTTGCAGACAGTGGGACCGTCTCATGCCAGGACATACACAGTAGCTGTTTACTTCAAAGGGGAACGAATAGGATGTGGAAAAGGCCCAAGGTATAGTGAAAAATTAATCACATGCTGTTAAAGTTTGAGTGTGGCAGAGTCCAAAATGACTAGCCATGGAGATAGACCAGTGTGTGGTTGACCTTAGAAAAAGAAAGCTATAGAGCCTTCTTCAAGCTATTCTGAGTTTCTGCCTCAGGAATACCTGAAGGGTTCAACGTCTGTATACTGTTGGTCTCAAGCTTTTTTGGTGAACTTGCCTATAAGGTGGCTAGTAATGCTAACCCATTTGTGGCTCTCAGAGTAGAAACTGCAGAACAGCTTCCAGGAGATAGTGACTTTATCTTTGGCTTTGCTACTATGTTACTGTCCAACTTAAGCTGGCAAGTTAAGGGTGCAAGGCTCTCAGGTTTTTTTTTCTGATGTTATTACTTCTAGGCATTTTAGAATGGTTTCTAAAGTTGCAAAGACTTCAACCATGAATGCCAAAGACCTCATTTTATTTTCTGCTACCAAATCTGGTGGTGGTTATAAAAATATCATTGGTTTTATAGCATTCACACCTCTGTGATTTTGTTCCTTTTTTTCTCTCAAGTAAAAGCAAATGCTTCAGTGAAGAATGGACTAGAATATTCTGTTAGTGTTATTGATCTAAGTTTAAAAATATTCTACTGGAGCTGTAGTGCTATTGCTCACATATTTATGGAAAGGCTGATATATCATACACTCTGGGACTTACTAGCTACTGGTTATCCAAAGACTTTTATTACAAAAGAGTAGCTAGTGTTCCACTTTGTCAGAAACTTTAGTTTATTCTGTACAACTTAGATCTCATGTAACATGTTTTTGTTTGGCTTTCACAGTATTCAGCAAGCAGAAATGGGAGCTGCAATGGACGCACTTGAAAAATGTAAGATGTTTGGGCAACAAAGAAAATAATTTATAGTTTACATCCTTGGTCTTTAGTAAGGTGAGGTGCAGGTTTTGTGAGGGATAAGATTTGAACAGAACATCTATACTCTCAGCTTCTGAGCAGCAAGTTTTCCTTTTAGTACTTCAAGACAATTTTGTAACAGGTGAAGTTAATATGATACCAACAGGTATTTTTTAAAGGGAGTTGATCAGCTACAGAGGTTGCAACTTAGAGGGAACCCTGTGGAGTGAAGTCTCATTTTCCATGCTTAAATATGCAATGGGATAAGGCTGCTTAGTCTCTGGTGGTGTAGTTGTCTCATCCTCTAATTTAGGGGAGGAGGAAGATTACTTTTCAGTTGCCAATTTAGAAAATAAAATTTGATCTCAGATTATACAGTAGACTAGGTTAAAATCTAACAGGCAGATCCCCAGCCAATGTAAGTCAATATTTATCAGTTAAGAACAGCTTATATCAGCTGAGGATCCAGTAATCTCTGTATGCATCTCTCAAAATTATGCACAGGATAGCCAGCATGGGAGCAGCCCTTCATTGCAATGGAGTCTCAGATATGAAAGGAATGAGTGTATGCAAACATGTTGTATGAAAGAACTTCGGTCAGTTGAGTTGAAGTGCCAGGTATGGACGTACTGTAAGCAAATAGATTACAGGCATTTTGTGCAGCAGAAGCTCTCTATTCAGAAGGACATGGAGAGGTACATTTTTTGCATTTGATTCAAAGGAAAGACATGCAGTTCCTCAGATGCCAAAGGTTTTTATTCTGTTATCTCTGCATCTGGAAATCCCAGGGCTTAAAAATTTCAGAAGACAATGAATCCCTGTAATTCAGAATTTTTTTTATATCCGTCTGCCAGCCATATACTTCTCACCACTAGTAAATTTGACAAGTAGAAAAATGTAAGTTCCCTTCTCTGCTGAATATCTACAAAATGTTACTGAAGTTTTCTTTGAGTGTTTTTTCTTGTGACGGTATTGCCACTCAGATTGCTGTGAGCTTCATCTCCTATCAGTCCAAGGACTTCACAGCTCTTTTCTGATATATGTATTTGTTTGAATACCATAGACCTCTAGAGGTCTCTACTCCAACCACCCCTCATAACAGAGACAACTATGAAGTTAATCATGTTTCTCAGTGCATTGCCAGTCAAGTTTTAACTATCTCTAGGGATGGAGGCTCCACAGCCCCTATGGGTACCTGTTCTAGTATGTATATATTTGTGGAGTGGAGTTTTTGGTTTTGGGGTTTTTTTTTTTTTAATGCATAAATAATTAAATTCAAGTAAATGTAATTTTCATGTATCTGTTTATATATATGATAGCCATGATGAGTTTATTGCATAAATTCCCTTCTCAACATATTAAATGGATTATAAACAAACAGGTTGCTACCAAGCTGAGTTCTTCAGAGTTCTTAAAGAATCACGTTACAGTCACAGTGCTGAAAATCCGATTTTCATTTTATGGTGCACATGAGCAACAAAATATCGCAGAACTCCATTAAACAAAGCACTAGTGTTTTTAAAAACAGCAGCAATTCAAAAACAATTTGCTTTTGTTTAGATTGCTTTCTGGTGTAAATAAATATACCCTCCTATGCCCCAGTTGTAAATAACTGATGAATAAAACTTTTATTCCTTTAGTATATAATAAAAGCCACAAATTTCACTGGCCAATAAAACAAAGCAGTAGCAAGTCATTCTGCTCTACCAAGAACTCCTGCAGATTACATGGCTTCTGCACCATGTTCTCTAGCTGAACAAATCTGTGCTGCTTGGGACCCAGAAAGAGGAGGAAAATGCTTAGTGCCAAGGGACTCCTCCCTGAGGAGCCTCAGCTGAATTCTCTCTTGGTAGCCAACCAGAGAGAGAGCTGTCCATTGCCAAGATACCTCCCAGATTTTTTTATGGCTTTTGAAGGTCAGTGTAGTAACCTTTTGCGTTCATCTCAGACACAGATAGGTAGCCAGTGCTGATCCCAGAGCTCTGTGTGATCCCAGCAGGATTTACCACCACTTACTCTACCACCTCTTTGTTTTCTGACCGGCTGGAGGGTGCAGGTCTCTGTAGCACAGAGACACAGATGAATGTCAGCACCCTGGTCATGCAAAAAACGTCATATTCTGTCAGCTGTGCACTAAATTGAGAGCAATTATGCAAGCTGGTTTTACAGCCTCAGTTCTAACTAGTGTACATACGTACCAGCCAATGGACAAATGTCTGAAATCGGAAGCATCCATCCCCCTAGCTATTTCTCCATCACCTGTCTAGTCTGTTTTAGCCAGTCTTCACTCATCCATGCTCTTAGACTACACTGAGGTTGTATTCTGGTACATAGCCAAGCATTAACTTTTTCAGAACAGATTTTACTGCATTCCATTTTGCTACACTATTACTTTCCCATTAGGAACGCTGCCATAATGTGGGGCATGTAGTAGATTCTGCATGGTTTAAAATAATAATAATATTAATGGAAACATCTGTACAATGCTTGGAACCAATGGCTCATGCTTTTTGGAGTGAGAACAAGACAAAAAACCCTGTCAGCATTGACAGTAGCCTCACATTTGTTTTTCAGTATCGACCACCTGTTGCTAAGGGAACAGAATGTAAAATCCAGGTAATACCTGGCCATGTGGCTATACCAGGATTTTATATTTTATTTTTGTGAGTGTATTATATTTGGCAGTGCTTTGTAGCAGGAGAAACAGATGTGGAAATCATAAAGAAATCAAAGCCTTATGACACACAGCCCTGGTTTACTATGGATTATTAGAAATAAATGAGTAAAAATGGTAATAACATTATTCCCCCCTACCCCTAATCTCATCAAAGTTTAAAAAAAAGAAGAGCTGAGGTTTTCTATGTTATCAGTTTGTTTATTAATGTAAAATATTTTTCCTTGTGTCAGATAACTTTCCCCAGATGGCCCATCAGAAACGGTTCATTGAACGGAAGTACAGACAAGAGTTGAAAGAAATGAGGTGGGAAAGAGAGCATCAAGAGAGAGAGCCAGATGAGACTGAAGAAGCAAGGAAATAAAAGGAGGGCACAGAAACAGTGGCATATTTACTTACTTAATAACTCTGACTGTGGCCTATGGAGATCTAACCTAGTTTCTTGCAGATGATGAATGAAGAGTGCCTGTTGATATCAAATAGAAAATCATAATCTCTTCTTAAAAAAGTGTGTGTATATACAGTATTTCTTTAGTTTGGTTTTAAGTGCAAAGTTTGTTTGGCTTTTTAATAAGATTTGGTTTTAAATCCTTTTAATTTTTATGAAAAGTTGTGGGATTATTTTTATTATTTTTACTGTCTTGTATGAAGTAATAAAGTATTAATTTCAAAAGCCTGTAGGAGGAAAAGCTATTTAACAATTGTCTCCTATGTCCAAATGCTGTTTTGTCAGTGACCAGCAAAGTTATTGCATGGATTCCGCTGTAGAGGAGGAAAGTATTACGAGAAACTAATTCAGCAGAGCAATTAAGTATATACCTAGCTTACGTTTTGCAGCTAAATTTACTTCTTGATTCTGCTAAACCAGAGCCATAAACTTCAGGTCCTTTTATAGAAACTGGTACAGTAATTTAAGCAAAGGAGATACTCGGTTTTGTTTTGAACAGTGAATTCCACATCTGGAATGTGACACAGGTGTATGTGGAAAGTTGGGGGTTTTTGTCTTTAAATCAGTATTCTAAAACTCTAAGAAAAAGGAAAAAAAAGGTAATTACAAAGCAAGAGAATGACAACTTTTTTCTTAGTGAATGTACTGAGTTTACCTTTACAAGTTTAGTTTCATTCTCAGCTTCTTGCTCTATCAAACTGATGTGTACTTTAATTGATGTCTTTGTCCAGAACATACCAGTGTGACCATAATAGTCAAATGGTGCGTTAGAAACTCCATACAGGTGCTGTTCCCGATAGGTTCATTGAAAACTGGTTGTATCCAAAGGAGGACAGAATTTGTCCCCAAGGTGTAGTTCAAAGGTGGTGTACAATTTTAAGTCACCTGGGTTCCTTGATTTTTGGTGTCTGTGGCTTGTATTAGACAGACAGATGTTTCTTCTAGAAAAGCTCTGAATGGTACCAAAAGTGGAACATCCACTGTGTTGGTGGTTTTTCCCCACTGACTAACAGCTTCATTGTAGATGTTGATGCATTGTTCGTACTTTTAATTTGCCCGCTTCAAGCCATTCATTTTCGTTATGCTGATTTCTGAGTTAAAACAGTCACTTAGTACATACTGTGTAGTCATTTCTTTATCTTTCTTTTCTGATAAGTGAAACAGATACAAGTCTTATTTTCCTTAACTGCGCATTTTCTTCCTGCTTCAGATCCTTTTTGGTGAGTTATTTATGCATCTTTTTTGATGTAACTAACACAGATGTATGTGATAAGATACCAGGCAGCTTCATGAGTGTGGATGCACTGGCCCAAAGTCTGGCCCAAAGAATTCATACAGATTCCTGAAAGAAAGCTTTTGCCCAATGGCCACACTATGCTGAGCGGTTGTCTGAAGCACCTTTCTGTAGGTGTGCAATGGGCATCCATTAAAGCACTTTATTGCAGGTGCCAAAGTAGACCCAAGTGCAGCTGAAAAGTTTAGACTACCCAAATGTCTTCCTGAAGTTTCACTTCTGAGCTAATCAATATGTGTATTTTCATAAACACATTTTTGTACACATGTGAGATGCACTTAAATGTGTTTTTTTTAAAACTTGACCCCACAGCACTACCTCACTTCTTCCAGCTTCTATGATTGCCTTTTCTTAATGGGTTGATGCTTTAAATCCATTTCAGAGGGTGAGAGGAAAAAAAACCAACAAACACATTCTGTAATTTAGAGAGTGATAATAAACCATTAAAACATAAAGGAGGGGATAAAAACAGCAAGATAAAGGCAAGGAGCTGCTCTCTGCTGGATGCTGCTGTTCTTTGACTTTTGAGAAGTGATTGTAACTCCTTATAGCTTCAATCTCTAAATAAAAAGCTGAAATGCCTTTGCACAGCAGCAGGCTTGAAGAGCAAGCAGCAACAACTCCCCTGCCCTCAAGTCTTTCGTATTTCAAATTCTTTTGTAGAATTGCCCATCTGCTTCTAGCAGTAAGTTGAAATGGTGCATTGGTAGAGGGTTAAGGGTAATTGTGTACACCATTATTTTATTTTTCCCTCTTAACTGTGACCAGATTCATGTGTTTAACAAGTAGGTGTGAAGTGACTTCATTTTCGGGTGTATGGTTGCTTTGCAAATTTCTCTCCGATATCACCAGAGTACCCCAGTGGAATTGTTAGCTCATAAATTAACATTGCTTTCATTCTTCCTAGACATCATCTCAGTTTTCAGCTGTAAGAAGACTGTAAGCTTATTCATAAACATTTGCATAAAAATAGATTGAGTTTATCAGATATGCTGTTTGAGGGGAGGAACCCAGAACTTTTCTCTTTTCTTCTTTGACCCAGAAATTGCTTGAAAACAAACAAAACTTTTAAAACAATTTCTGCATTCCATCATTACAGTTAAGGAATTTTAGGTCTTCCTCAATAAAATGTAGATGATAACCATTTTTTCCATGAATGGGCTATTTTCCCTTTTTTCACGTGTATAAGCATGGGCTAGGAAGATTGCTTGAAGAAATTTTGTTTTCCTTGTCTTGAGGGCAAAAAACAAAATAAATGGTAAAGAAATTAATGTTTCCTTTGTCTACATCAAAAAAGCAGTGTTTTTCTGTGTACGCACTGTCTAAAAACAGTGGCTGTGAATGTTTCTGATAATTTAAGGAGATGCATAGAATGTATACTGTGAGTGCGGTGTTTTATAACACACACTTGTCCTGGTTTCGGCTGGGATAGGGTTAAATTTCTTCCTAGTGCTGTGTTTTGGATTTAGTATGAGAAGAATGTTGATAACACACTGATGTTTTCAGTTGTTGCTAAGTACCCTCCTAGTCCAAGGACAGCTCCCATGCCTACTGACTGAGCTAGGTACACAAGATGGGAGGGAACATAATCAGGACAGCCAGCCCAGCTGGCTAATGGGGTATTCCGTACCATGTGACATCATGCTCAGTATATGAATGGTAGGCGTGATCCAGGAAGTACCGATCGCTACTTGGTTATCGGTCAGCGCAGGTGGTGAGCAATTGCATTGTGCATCACTCATTTTGTATATTCTGTCATTATTATTATTATTTTCTATTTTCTGTTCTATTAAACTGTCTTTATCTCAACCCACGAGTTTTTCTCACTCTCACCCTTCCTATTCTCTTCCTGCCCCACTGGGGGAGGGGGAGTGAGCGAGTGGCTGTGTGCTATTTGGCTGCCTGCCAGGTTAAACCACAACAACACTAAGGAGAGAAAGTTGTTTTTTTAAGTTGCCTTAAATTTGGGAAGAATGATTACTGAGCTCACGTTAATCAGTGGAACAGCTGTATTCTATAACTAGACAACTATGGCTGCTTTTTTGGAAATGTGAAGGTGCCTCTGGGTTATTGGTAAAGTAAGGCCATTTTTTAATTGCTCCAGAGCCTGATCTCTTCTGATCTAGAGGTTCTCATGCAAGATCCATTGACTTGATTTGGGTACAAGTAGATGAACGAAGAACAAGACTGAGATCTGTGTGGATCCAGCAGGTCCTGTGAAAGCACATTTTTTTTTTTCTTTTTTTTTTAATGTGCATATGTACAGAGCATTGAATAGAATTGTAGCTCATTTGATTAGGAATTTTAATTGAATTTACATAAAATTCATCACTGTTATTTGCAGAGCCTAAGTTTGCTTTGTAAGATTTCAGTTTCTGTAAGATTATTTCTGTAAGATACTAAGAGAACCTTGGTCTCTAAGACTGTTGTAAACGTTGCTAATAAAATTTTCCAGAAAAGACTTCAGGCATAGGTGTTACTTGCTAAAACAATTTGGAAAGATCAAAAGGCTAATCCTGATCACCTGTCTCCCTACTTAAAGACTCTGATTATGCAGGCATATATTTAAATGAAGTAAGCAGTTCACTTGTAAAAAGTTTCTATTTGGTGGAAGTTTGTAATGCCCTGTAAGAGCGTTACAAGAGTAAGAGCTTAGGGAGTTGATCGTCTACATTGTACATTGTGCATTGACTTTGATGGGGGATGGTATCGTGATAGAACTTTCTGTGACCCATACATCCCACCCTGCTTCTCCCCTCTCCCCCCACAGATTATGTATCTGTCATTGAGCATTTGAAATAGTTTTGTCTAAATGGGGAATAATCAGAAAGTGGTTCCTGTTTTGTTCCTTGAAGCGTAGTGAAAACTTGTAGTTGAAGAGTGCTCTGCTGTCTTCTGTTCCCTGCAAGTCTAAATGTTTAGCTCTTGGAATGACTGACATCTTACTGTGAATAGACTCAGAAAGAGATGTGATGTGTCCCATCATTGGTTGCTGGTAATTATTCTTCGCCAGTAAGCCTTGGTGTCCGGGGACAGGTGTTCTGGATTCTGCTGTCTGTTCTTTCAATCATAGTTAGGCAAATATGGTGAATGGCCTGGAAAGCAGCTGCAAAATAAAGTGGTGGCTGCATAATGAACTTGCATTTACTTGTTACACTAACAAAAATTAAAAATTGCCATAACAATATGGTAGGTGGAGCAGGGAATTGAATCTCTCATCTGTCATGGACACATTCATTTATTCTTATTGCAGAGCTGCTCATTAGACCATCCACCACTGAAAAATAGGCTAACTCCTTGTATTTTGAAGATGTAATTTGTCTTTGTATGAAGATGCTGATTAAAATGGATTGGAAATGTGGAGGTGTACTGGTCACTTCAAATTATAGGCAAGGTGGAGATTTTTATTTTAGGGAGAATGGCCTTCTTAAAATATTTCATGACTTTCCCTTCCCTCATATTCTGATGTATTTTGTGTTCCCAGCTTGAGTCACAGATGGTGTTTCTTAGCAAACTGTTCATGTTTATGGGCATACTATGTCTACTTAGCAATGAAATGCTAGGTAAGACCATCCATTGCATCTCCTTTGTGTTTCTCTGGATTCCTCTTTTAAAGTAATTCTCTGTAGAAGGAAATAAGGGTCAATGATTTCGCACTGGTCTGGTTTTGTTTTCCTTATTTTCTTCTCTTCATGGTAGCCTACCTCATTGCTTTTGCAGTGAGTTGCTCAGCTAGAGCAACTCTGAAGCTTGCAGAAGAGAAGACCGTCTTGGGCTCTTTTGTCTGTGCTTTCTGCTCGTAGGCGCGTTCTTGACCTGGGAGGTAATGAGCTGAAGGAAAGGAGCACTGCTGGCTGGAGTGCGCTGGCTGGTATCAGTATGCTGGAAGATCTGCCAGGGAGTGACGAAAGCAGTGCAGTCAGAGAGGCTGACCCCGCAGCTGCAGCCG